CGATAAACTAGTGGTGCTACCAGTGTGCTCATTAATCTCATGCACCGCCCGTAGAATTACCGATGACTAGCTTACCTTAAGCTCTTCAGAAGTCTAAAGTCGTTGCATTCTTAACACCACCTACGAAATTGGGGTCTGGTCAACTTGAAGTTCTCGTTGTGGTACCAGTGTAAAGTCGTTGCATTCTTAACACCACCTACAAAATTGGGGTCTGGTCAACTTGAAGTTCTCGTTGTGGTACCACTGTGCTCATTCATCTTGTGCACCGCTGTGAGCTTAGTCGATGACGAGGCATTTGAGTAGCTTAAGTGCCGTGAAAATATTCTTTGCGTTCCTCACATGTGCTTGCTGGGCTGGTATGGGCTGCATGACGGGCGTTCGACAAGTACCTTTGCCGTGTAGATGCTCGTTAACTGGGTCTGCGGTTGTTGCTGGGGCTCTGGGATGCCGTGTGTGCTCAAGTGGTTGATTAAGTGGTTGGTGTGCAGCCAGAGACAATGCATTGTTTGCACCTTTTGAATACCATGCAGATACTGCTTCCAACTGATTTGATTAGGCTTGCTGACAAGCAGTTGCTGCGCGCCGCCGTTATTGCGAACTAGATGGTTTCTCTTTTGTCTCTGCTTTTCTTACAAAGACCGACCAATCGGGGAGAGTTTACCTTGACGCAACGGCAGCCAGTCACATAAACACATATGCGTGCATTATCTAATGTAGACAGCACGGGAAACAACGTGCAGGTGGTGCAAAAGGCATATGAAGCAGCGAAGTGCTCATGGAAAGCTTGCACTCAGGCTGGCAAACGCTGAAGCAAGAACGAAGACGAAAACACACACCGTACGATGCTGTGCAGCAGGGAGAGTTTCCAAAAGGAGCGACCTCTTTCTCCTTTCCTATGGTTTCTAGCACCACAGCAGTTTGGAATCCACCTGTTGCTGTTGCCACCGTCGCTGTTTTCGCTAATGCTTCTGGTGCTACTCCTCGTTGGTGCTGCAAAGAGCAGCACGTGCTGACGAACTCAGCACGTGCTGGATATGAAATCCTTGAAGCAAACGCGGAGCAAATGAGAGAAGCATATTGAATATGAGCAAAACAAATACGTGAATTTATATATGAGATGCATGAAAGAAGCATATGTGGAGATGAAATAAACATATTCAAGTATACGCTAGTTTACGCTGACATGTGTATATGCGCACTTCTTGTTCGCATCTGTTTTATCCACTTATTCCATACTTGAAGATGGAGTAGACGGAAGTCAATATTGAATAGCAAGAACTATATCTAAGTATGGTGAGATGAACACTGTGAAGAATATGCGTTCTTACTTCCCTCCCTTCGTTGCTTTTGCTGCGAAGTTAGCGCTGCGTATTTTACTTATTTGACGCTCGAATTTGTTTACCTCATTTGCTTAACCTTCGATTTCAGTGTTAATGCTCACATCTGGTTATACCATTAATTTGATATCCAAATCGTCTTACTTCATACATTTCATACACAGAACCGCACAGACGCGAGCTGCACCACATGCGAAACTCCACCTCTGGTTAGGAAGTACCCTACTGCTATCTCCTCAAGGACAGCAGAGAGGCCGCTGTCTCTCCAGGAAGCATCCACCACACGGACAAATGAATGTCATGCAGAGCCTGCTCTCAATTGATTTGGTTGTATTTGCTGGCAAGCAATTGGTGCGCGCCGCCGTTGTTGCGAACTAGATTGTTTCCCTGTTGTCTCCGCGCTTCCTACACGCACCGACCAAACGGCCAGAGTTCACCTTGATGCAACGGCAGCCAGTCACAAACACATATGCTTGCACTATCTAATGCATACAGCACGCAGAACAACGAGCAGCTGATGCGAAAGGCTTGTGGAGCAGTGAACTGCTCATGCAGAGCTTGCACTCAGGCTGGCGAATGCTCAAGCAAAAACGAAGAAGGAAACAAACACCGTGTGATGCTGTGCAGCAAAGAAAAGTTTCCAAAACGAACGGCATCTTCCCCCCTTCCTATGGTTTCTAACACCACAGCAGTTTGGAATCCACCTGCTGCTGTTGCCGCTCTTGTTGTTTTCGTTGATGCGTATGCTACTACTTACGCAGATAGCAGCTGCAGCAGCTATCCCCCGTTTGCATCTGCATCTGGCACAGCGACTGCTTCATGCAAATTGCTCTGTCGAGCTGGTGAGTACGCAAGCGAAACAAAAAAGGTAAACATACAACAGGGGCTATTGTTCAGTACTGAGAGCTTGCGGAAGGGGTGGCCTCATGCTCGTCGCATATGGTATAGCACCACAGCAGTTGAGTGGCCGCCTGCCACTGTTGCTTCTGTTGCTATTCTTGCGGGTAGCAGCTGCAGCGACGATATACCGTCTGTTATGTACGCGCAGGATGCAGCATATGCTCTAGAGCCGGCCCTTTCGTTCTCGGAATTGCCTATAATGCTGCCTGAGCAGTGGCTGCTGGTGCTGCAGCTACTCCTGCTCCCCTAGTAAAGACAGAAACTCTTCGCATACCTGCAGCCGACCACGCTCTCATGGGCAACGAAAAGCCTCCGTCGGCTTGGTGTTGGCTTGTGCCTGAGCCTCCAGCCAGCTGTACATTTTAGTCGTTCCCTTTGCTAGACGGTGGCTGTGTTCCTGTACTGTGCGTTTATTCGCTGACACATAATTAAGCTTGTCCTAGTGTTCATGCAACTGGTCGCTGCTCACAGACCAAGACATGACGAGGCATTTGCCGACCTTATACGGGGGGCGATGAGTAAAATAAACAATACTGTCATTGTTTATTTAGCCTGCCGCCGCCCGTACATCGGAATGTGACGAACTATTTGCTTAACATGCGTTATTTAAACCCAGATATTGCTTGCCACGGAAATATTGCATACGTTGACCCATCACCAACAATAGCGAGCATGCATCGATACCCGTGTGCTCGATTCCTATGGAGTATTGTGCTCGAATGATTGCTGCGTTAGGGGTGTTGGGTGTGCAGCGGCGCCCGGGCATTTGACCACCATAAGGATGCCGTAGATCTTTATCCATTCCTTCTCGGACGTTGGAACATTAGCTTTCCCAACCTATCTACCAGAAAACTGCCTGCTCAAGCTCCTAAGGCTCTTCGTGTCTCTCTGTTCTCAGTCCAGACCATTGGTTCCAAGAGGTCCTCCTGTTGCCTGAAATGCCGGCTGTTAAGCAGATGTCTCCATAGACAAATCTAAGAAGGCAAGTCAGCATAGGTGTAACTGCTCATCGACTATAAAAGGGGGCATTTCTGCCTTCTAGTGCAAGTTGCGGTGTCTCCATTTCCGCATCGAGCGGTCACATGCCGCCCCCTCGAAAAACCTTGAAATCGATTACGTTGCGCGACTGGACTGAAGGAAGTAACACTAAAACAATTAAGCGGTTCGACAGAATATGCAGCGAGTGGAAGAGAAATGCAGAGGGACGCAGAGACTGAGAACCGGCAACGAGGGACGCAGAGACTGAGGACCGACAACGCCTGCGCTTGGCGGGCCAGTGACCTGGGCCCGCAGAAGCAACTCAGCTAGCCTACTTGATCACACGCACTCTTTTTCGCTTTTATAAGCCTGTAATTCTCGATAAAGATTGATTTCTCTATTGGAACAACCTTAAACTTGCATCCACTTGCTTTTCTTTCTTGCCTGTGTGGCTTCGGCTGTCTCGTTCGTCTCTGTGAGCACCACCGTTCGAAGGACTCTCGCGAAAATGCAGCGAGCATTGCAGTTCAGGATGCAACAAAACATAGTAAAGAAGTCGTATAGCCACTCCAAATATCTTCTTTTCGCTTTAAGCCCGGCTAGTAGTTGCCAGACGAGCCCGCAAAAGCCCGAGATGGCCATGGCCGACAGTGATGGCGCGCTAGTACCAGAACCCAGGGCTGAAGTGCCTGCTGTCTCTGATACCGAAGCGTAAGTGTCCCATTTCCAGGTTTACTTCTCTTTTCCTCCTAATACTCTCTGTTTTTCCTCCTATGCTGTATTCACGGGCAGTTGTAACCTGCCGTCTGTGTTGACTTCATCTGGATAGGGTGTCCGCCTTCCCGGAAGCCCTGTGTGTGTAGGGCTCGTTTGTGGCAAATAGAGCTAAACTACTCGCCTGTAGCAGGCCAAAAGTTGACCTGCCGTACCTCCTTCTGTTTCCTCCTGTCCGTTCAGGTTGACTAGTTTGTCCTCGCTGGTTCCACCAGCTTGTCCATTGGTTGCAATGGACACTGCAGCAGCAGAAAACACCTCTACTCCTGCCCCGACCAGTTTGTCTCCGCTCGCGCCACCAGCCACTCCAGCGGTTTCAACGGAAACCGCAGGGTCAAACGCATCTACGCTTGCGCCTTGCCACACACACTGCACTACGCCTCCGAACCGCACCGCTCCTTTGGGCGGGCATCTCGGAATTCCACGAATGACTGATCATGAAATGTATCTTGCAGGCCTCAGCTTCCATATAAGCATGGAAGAGCGGCTTAAGATTTGCTTGGCGGTGGCGAAGAACCTGCTTGATTCGGTCGACGATAAAGCTCCATCCAACACTTCGCTCACTTCTCAAACAAACAAAAGGCCGCATTGTCCAACTGCTCGAAGCAGTGAAGGCCCTGAACAGAAGCGCAAACCCCTCTTTCGTCTTAAACTCCCCGCCGGTCACGACCTGTCTCAACTCGCCGGCCCAGCAAACACCGTCGCAAGTACACCCCTTCCCGAGAGGGAGGCTGCCGCCATCTTGGTTGCAGCTTCTTCACAGCAACAGCAGACACCCAGCGAAGAGAGCCAAACGGCGCAAGAGGAACGCACAGCCCATGAGTAATGCCACTTCTAGCCGGCAAGCGTACTTCTGCAGACGCTCCCCGGACAGAAGAGAGGCGGCTGTTGCTTTAGCCCTCATATGAAATATTGTTGAACGCCGAATGGTTCTCTTTCTTGAGTTCGTTTGGCAAACCTCCTCTGGGCTTAAGTTTTGGGTGCTTGCGTTTTGTCCGGGGGTGATGGTTTTCCAGCAGCACAAACGTTTCTTCATATGCAGCGCAGCAACAGGCCAGACAATCAAGTATAGTAGGCACATGCGAGTGTAAATGGTGTTTCTGCCTATGTAGCTAGGGTCAGTTACGATTCACGACAACAACTGCAGCTCGCTAGGTCTTTGATGCCTCTTTTGGGACAGCTAAAACCGTGCCCGCGTGCATGGGCATGCACACGAGAGCAGGCACGTTATGGCACGTTATAGTGAGAAGGCATATGTTCAGCCCTTCGGTCTCTTCCCAGAGGGACCATTGGAGAAAGAAACACCCATGCAGTGCGTTGCCCTTCCGGACGCGTGCGGCGGAGTTTGCAATTAACTCCGCCGCAGTTTGGCAGTACAGGTTCTGCACTCAGCAGTAGGCACTGCACTAAAGGACTAATCGCACCCAACTGGGCCCATCCATGCAAGTGCTCAGGGGGGACTGCGAGTAGTGGAGGACACGGCTGCGCAGTTTGAAGAACATTCATGGTGGCTTCAAACACTCCATGTGATGCGGGCCCACACCCGTCTCACTGAAGGACATCCATTGACACAAACTATGTTCCTTCACATTCCTAAACCCCTCTTTCGCCTTTAGGCAGCACGCCACAACTAAGCGCCATATTCTGAGGCCTAAATAAACCCCTTTTTGTCTTTATTTAGGCCTCAGAATAGGGCGCTTAATTGTCGAGCACTTGTCCTGCTTGCTGAGCCTGTTCAGCACTATGCGGTGCTACCAAGTGTCAAGCGTGCTTTCCTGCCCTATTCAAGGAGGTACGTCAGCTGGAATGAAGACAAAGACTCGAGGTAAGCGATCCTCGGAAACAGCTGACCTCTCACCCCTCTCCCAAGGCATAGTGGGGGGTTAAGCTCAGGGTCTGGGGTACCGGGGAAGGAGGCAGCCTAAGTGTATTTGCGGCTCCCCGCGTCCCTTGGATGCTGTGAGTGCGCAGAGAGTAACAGCAATTTACGCATGATGTTGTTCAGGCTGTTAAATTGCTGGCTTGCATCGCCAGCTGCTTTGCGCAGGTGGCGATCCACGCCAGCCTCGAGTGTGAACACAAGGAAGCTTCGACGAAGCTCCCTTCACTGCATGCTTTACCTCTGTATACACGAATAGAGCATTTGTATTCGCTTGCAGGCAACATACCGAGGCCAAGTGAATGTTACTATGCTAACAGCAGGCACGCTACACCAGCCGCTCAAGCATGCGCAAGTCGGCATCTGTGTTCCTCGTGTTCCCCATGAACCTTCATCGCCACTTAAAAAACAATTTAACAACATAAACAACATCATACGCAGATGACTGCTACTCGTTGCCGAAGGGTAGCCAAGGGCCCCCGTGGTCCGCATACACAACCAGGGTCCTGGGGGGCCCTACCCGTCAAGCAGCTGTATGGGGCCTCAAGCGGCCGCCTTAGAAGTTAAAAGGTCATCTTACTCCGGTCACATAAACTACACAGGGCCCCTTCCAGGGCCTCCGTGGGATGCGGCCTGGACTTCCGCCTGCTCAGGGGCCCTATGGGGGGCCCCAGCCTCCCGTGCAGGGAGGCAGGCATGGTCCCCCGTATTCTCTCTCCCAAGGGCAAATGCACTACGATGCAAGCACATACAGCAACGTGCAGGCCCATGTCCAGCTGCAACAATCATCAGGGCCACCGCTGCCGCAACATCAGCTACGCCAGCAGCAACGGCAGGTGCAACAGCCGCAGCAGCACTGGCAGCAGCGGGAGTGGCAGCAGCAGCAGTGGCAGGCCACTCCTCCACCCCCTCCACCCCTGCCTGCCAGTCCGCAGCAGTTGCAGTTTGCTGTTCCATTGCAATACCAGCAGACCAGGCAGCAACAGCAACCCGCAACACTCCCCCCGCAGCCACAGCTGTCTGCAAATTCATCACAAGGAACGCAACAACAAGAGGTCGGAGCCCCACAAGGGGGCTGCTACAGTCGGCGTGCGCCGCAGTTTCGGTCGCCGTTTGCTGCAGCAGTTGCGGCGCTTAGAGCTACACCTCGCCATGCTGCCGCAGCGCCAAGGCCTCAGGAAGAGATTGTTCTCAGCAGCAGTAGCAGCGAGTCGGAAGAGGAGGCTCGAGCCCCATTTGAGCACGCGCAGCAACACCACAATCGGCGACAGGCTGCGCAGCAGCAGCAACGGCAGCAACGCCCGCAGCGGCAGCCACACCAGCAGCAGCAGCCACAACAACAGCATTTGCCGCATCAGCAGCAACAGCAGTCACAGCTGCAGCAGCAATGGACACATCGGCGAGAACAGGGGGACCAGCACCAGCAACGCTGGCAGCAGCAAAAACAAGAGCAGGAGAAGGAGCAGCAGGAGCACCACCGGCAGCAGCAGCAGCGGAAGCAGCAGCAGCAACCGAGGCCTGGCGACGGGAGGCCTCAGGGTACAGGAACGCTCCGCATGGACACTGTAGCTGCTGAATCTTCTACCCCAGCGCCGAGCACAACAGGAATGAGCAGCAGGAGCAGCAGCAGCAGGAATGCGTTTGAACTGAATGCAGACTGTTTTCTGCCTGAATTATCAGGTTTAATTAAGTGGCGAGATGGCCGGCTTCAGAAAGCGCTGCGCTTTGCGTGCGAAGAAGATGGTGTGCAACCGAGCGAGGCAGACAGAGACTCTTTCATCGTCGACTCGGATACGTGAGTTTGCTCAATGTTTTTGGTTCATAAACAATGTGTTTCTTCTTGGCCTTTGCAGCGTGGTGTGCATGCACCTCCCTAGCAATGGGTTCATATATATATATATATATATATATATATATATATATATATATATATATATATATATATATATATATATATGCATGTGTGGTTTACGACGTATGGTGTCCCTGCATTCTTGTGCATGCAGGGCGAATTGCCGGATTGTGGACGCAGCGGTATGCGAGTGCAGCTGCCCGAGCCGCGACCCGCTATGTTCACATTTGCTGGCTGTTGCAGTGTGGCAGCAACAGCAGCAGCAACAGCAGCAGCAGCGGCACCAACGGGGCTTGCCGCTTCATCGGGAGTTCAGTCTTCGTCTGGCTATCAGCGCATTCATCAAGCAAGAGCTACTGAGACTCGCGAGCGAAGCGTTTGTCCCCCTCAAGCCGTTCAGCTGCGAGGCGCTGCTTCAAGACCTGTGGCTGCGGCTCCTGCGCAGGTTTCCTCCTGCTGCGGCAGCTCGTGCTGCAGCCGGACTTGCTGTCGGCCTGCTGATGCGTTTCGCCCAGAAGGCGAAAGGCGCATTACCAGACGTCCCCTCCTCGGCCGGCTGCAAGCGAACGGAAGAGCCGCAAGAAGACAAGATCGAGGAGGAGGAGCAGCAACAGCAGCAGGAAGAACCGCAGCAGGAGGAAGCGCAGGGACAGACAGATATCCAGGAACAAAACGCGGAGCAGCAGAAGCAGCACCAGCAGCAGCAACAAGACCAGCAAGGACAGCACCGCGCGGAAGATGGTTCAGGATCGGCTGCAGATGACCAGGCCAGCAGCAGCTGCAGCAGCGATGGAGCCGCAGGAACTTCTGGGGGGCATTCCATTTGCTCTGTGCCTCCTGAAGAGGCTCTGAGCCGTCTCATGCTGCAGCTGCCGCTGCAGCTGCAGCGCGCAGACGCACGCGAGGGGGAGCAGGAGGGGCTTCTCAAGGTGCTGCATGCACTGGAGGCAGCTGTGTTCCCTGTAGCAGAGTCCGGCGCCGTGCACACTCTGCTGCAACTGCTGCAGCGCGAGGACGCGGGTGCTGCTGCTGCTGCTGTGGAGGAGGGGCTTCGCCTAAAGGCTGCGGGAGGCAGCAGTGGAGACGCTGCAGCAGGCCACCCGTCTGTCGAGCTTTATGTGCGCTTTGCTTTATTAGTGCTGCAAACCGCAGCGGCAGCAACAGCAGTAGCGTCTGCGGCAGGGGCTTCTGTGCAGACGGGGCTGATATACAGGGTGTGTGTACACCTTGTGCGGATGCAGTTCTCTGCTGCTGCTGCATCTGCCCTGCAAAACAGCAGACCGCTGGCTGATGCAGCAGCACTAGACCTCTTCATATCAGAGTTGCGGCGGTCCGTAATGGAGGTCCCCGCCAGGGCCCCCCTACGGCCCTCGACTGAGGCGGGGGTTCCCATATCCCTTCCCGCTCTGTGGAGTGAGGGAGCGCTTTCGCGTGCTGCACAGGATGTCTTGGTTTCTGAGTTGCAACGGCAAGCCCACGGCTGCATACACCTGGCAGCCACGCTGTGCAGCCCTTGGGATATCGCTGCAGCTCTTGCGCAGAGCTCCCGCAGCTGTGCGAAGGAGCCGCAGCTGCAGCGGCAGCAGCAGCAGCAGGCAGCCGCGGTGGAGCGTTGCTTGCAGCGACTGGTGTCGCAGCAGCAGCACCAGCAACAGCAGAGAGCTCTATCGTGGGAAGCTGCTGCGATGGCCATCGACGCGGCTCCTGCGCTCGTCGACCTGCGCACTGTTTGCAGCTGGGACGACACACTGGAGCCGTCTTTTGGGGACCTGGAGTCCTTCCTTAGCCGCCACGGCAGTACGCCCTTTGTTGCAACCAGGAATAGCAGCAGCAGCAACAGCAGTAGCAGCAGTAGCTTGCTTAGTCGGAATGTTTTCGTGAGCATTGAGGGGGGGAGCATCGTGCGTGTGCCCAACCCCACGCATGATACGCTACGGCAGTTGCTGGATAGCCTAAACAGTAGATCTGCTGCTGCTGCAGTCGCAGCGCTTGCAGCTCTGCTGTGGCAGCCGCAGTCGCAGCGGCAGTGCATCGGCAGCATCAGCAACAGCAGCGTCTGGGATGCTCGTCGCTTGCCTTCTCATAACCCGGCAACTCTACAGAGCGAAGTCCGCAGTTATTTGCAGCAGCGTGCCGACCTTCAGCAAAAGCAGCAGCAACAGCAGCAGCAAGCGTGGGGGGACTTTTGCTGCAGAGTTCTTTTGGAGGCCCCTAGGGTCCTGATAGATGCGTGCATTGTTGTATTGTTGGCGCCAATTGTGGATGTCTTTGGCTCTGGGGTCCTCACTGCTGCTGCTGAGCGCTTTGTGTTTATTTCAACGTTCTGCTGCCAGCAGCAGATGCAGGTGGCTGAGGCGACTTCAGCAGCCACGCACAGCAGCGGAAGCGCACAGACAGATGCCTTTCTGCTGCTGCTGCTGGGAACGAGGGCAGCCTTCAGACCGTTGTCTTCCCATCTGCATGGGGCACTGCAGCGGTGCATGCAGCTGCTGCTGCCTGAACACGAAGTACTGGCTGCGTTGGAGATACTGCAGCAGCCAAAGGCGCTGGAGGCAAAACAGCAGCCCCCACTCAGGCCCCAGCAGCAGCCGCAGCTGCAGCAGCAGCAGCAGCGGCAAGTTAGCAGCAACACAACTGGCGGCGTCACTGCAGCGGAGCATGACCAAGCTGCAGGAGTAAAACCAGCAAATGCTGCAGCGCCACCTACAACAGCTGCAGCGACAACAACAGCAGCAATAGGAGCGCCAACAACCACTAGCGTGGGGATACTATTTGATGACGGCGATACGATCCTGCTGCTGCCACGCCAGCGCAGCAGAGCTCCATCTGACCGTCCCAAGCCTGAAGACAAGGGTGCGGCGGGCACCTTTGCTTCAGCAGCAGCCCCTTTAGCAGCTGCTCCAGCTGCAGCTGGTGCCGCTGCTGCTGCGGTTGCAGGTTCTACGCTGGCAGCTGAGAAGGCAGCCGGCCCTGCGGCGGATCTGTGGGGGAATGAAAGCCCTGAAGAATTTGTGCTTCGACTGCGGACTGAGGAGTTCGGCGTAGGCCTTAGCAGCAGCAACGGCGATGCAGCCTTGGCGACTGCTGCTGGTACTACTGCTGCTGCTGCTGCAGAGGAGACACTTGTTGATGCTGTGTTGCGGAGGCAGCGGGAGCGGCTCACCCGAGCCCTCAGCCGCCTGGCCGGGGACTTGTACTCTTCAGAGGGCCACCTGCAGCTGGAGCTCCTGCAGAATGCAGACGACAACGTATACGCCTTGCCGCTGCCGCTACCCCCTGCAGCATTGCTGCTGCAGCCGCAGCAGCAGCAGCACCTTCTTTCCCGGATACCCGCCCTGACAGTCCCGTCGTTGCATTTCGAGCTCCTCCCTGAAGGCCTCTGTGTCTTCAATAATGAAAGAGGTTTCACACCAGCAGACGTGCGGGCCCTGTGCGACGTGGCACGCAGCACCAAAGATCCTCAGCTGCAGCAGCAGCAGCAACGGGAGCAGCAGCAGCCCCAGCAAGGACAGCAAAGTAAGGTTCGCCGCATAGGCAGGTTCGGCGTGGGCTTCAAGTCTGTATTCAGCCTCTCGGATGAACCTCACATCGTTTCGTGCACAGGAGTTGCACTGAAGTTTTCGGCTAAGGACAGCAGTGGCCTCGGCTTTGTGCTCCCTCACCCACTGCCCTCGCGGGACTGGAGAAGATTCCTTCCAGCGGAGGCACTTGAGGGAGCGCTCCTTGCTGCGCAGGACCCTCTGGCCTTGGCGAAGACAGGCAGCAGCAAAACGAGCAGCAGCGCGAGCTGCAGCAGCAGCAATGACTGCTGCTGCTCCATCTTGTCGCCGCATTCCCAGCAAACAACAGGTGCAACGGCAGCCGCTGCGCCAGCAACAGAAGCAGCAGCGGCAGAAGCGGTTATACGCGTCTGGCGGACGATCATTTGGCTACCTGTCCGGCCAGCGTTAGAGAAAGGGTGGGCGAGGGAAGGAGACAGCCTCTCGAGCCGTCTCTCGGTGGTGGAGCCTCACTGTCTCCTCTTCCTTCGCCGGGTCCGTCGAGTCTCATGTCGCAGTCAGGCAAACAAGAGCTGCTTCTTGCTCAAAAAACACACATTTTCACGCATCGATGCTTCAGTATTCAAGCAGCAGCACCAACAGCAGCAGCAGCAGAGGCAGCAGCAACAGAAGCAGCAGCACGTGTATGATTTGCCGAGCTGTGCACAGCACGTTGTCCTGACCTCCTGCCGCCGTGCGCTGGAGTCGACTTCTCCACTGCTGTGTGACCGTTGGAGCAATTGCAGGGGAGGAGACGGCCAATGGCAGCAGCGCCAGCAGCACTGGTTGCTAGTGAGCCACACACCGGTAGGGTCTCCCCCTGTTGCGGGGCCCAGTGACGAGCCTCTTGTAGTAGCTCTGCCCCTAACGCCAGATGGATACGCGGCGGCGACTCCGGAAGCAGCAGTTGCGCATCCTTCTGCTGCAGCAGTAGCATCGGACACGAATCGCAGCAGCAGCAGCAGCGGCAGCAATGATGATGGGAGCAGCGGCCACAGCACGGGGTGGCCGCTGCACTGTTTTCTGCCCGTGAGGGGCTTTGGGTTGCCCTTCATTCTTCAGGGCGCCTTTAGTTTGACTGCCTCACGTGAAGACCTGAGGTGTGGAGACAGCTGGAACTGTTGGCTGCTGCAGCAGCTGCCTGCTGCTCTTTGCACAGCCCTCTCAGTATGCACATCGGCCCACCCGGAGCTGCAGGAGTCGTTGCTGCTGTTTGCTCCACTTGTTCATGCTGCTGGGGCTGCGGGGGGCTCCGCGGGAATGGTTGGCGATGCTGCGGCTGCTGCACTAACTGCCGTGAAGCAGCTAGAGTGTTTGTTGGCTGTAAACCCTTGTATTGAGGCGCAGCAGCAACTGCAACAGCAACAACAGCAACTGCAGCAACAGCAGCAAGCAGCACCAACTACCGTTGAGGACTTTATATGGTGCTGCCCAGCACGCGCAGTGCTCGCTTGCAGTGGTGCAGGCGAGAGTGCTTCCGGGTCATATGCTACTGCGTCTCTGTGTCCTTCCAGCAGCAGCAGCGGCAGCGACAGCAGCACCAGCAGCAGCGGCGGGTGCAGCGCACAGACAGGGTGGCCAGTGCCACCTTGGCTGTTGGAAAGGGCCATAGGTCGGGTATACGTACACCCGAGAGTGCTGAAGCATCTCGAGCCGGCCGCCCTCCGTTCGCTCGGGGTGAGCGACTTGGGGTCGTGGGATGTAGTAGAGATACTGCGGTGTCTCGTCAGGCTGCAACAGGAGGGCCCGGGCAGCCAGGTGGAGCAGCAGCACCTTGACCACATACTGCAGCCGCAAGGAATCGGTCGGTTGCTGCTGGTGCTCGAAAGCGTCTGTATGCAGCAGCAACCGTCCTTGCAGCAGCGGGCAGCTCTGGGAGCTCTTCGGAGCATTCCTTTCCTCCCTACAGTGTGCGGGCGCTTCGTTGCAGCAGACGACGCGAAGCTGACGTTGTGCCTCCCGCCGCACGCAGCTGCGCCTGGCGCAGCGGCAGAAGCAGCAGCAGCGGCAGCAGCAGGCAGCGTTTCACAGCCCTTGAGGGCAGACCTCGGCGATGGGGCGAGTGGGGGACTCACTGAGAGCTCCACCGGGAGTCAGCTTGTGGTGTACGTACACCCTGGTGTCCTGGAACCGTGGACGATATCAGCAGACAACCGGCAGCAGCAAGAGCATCTGAAGCTGCTGGCGCAGGATGAGCCGCATAAACAACAGGTGCTTTCAGAGACGGAGCAGCAGCAGCTGGCAGCGGACTGCATGATGCAGCGATCCCGCGTGGTGCGGTGTCTACGGAGTCTGGGCATAGATTATCTGCGGCCGCAGCAGGTGCTGAAGCAGCGCCTGCTGCCCTTGTTACAGCAGCCTGACCTGGGAGATACTACAACAGAGAGTGAGCTGGTGGGTTATCTCTTCTTTCTCGTCTACCACTGTCGCAGCCTGGCGGCCTTGATGCAGGTAGACAGGAGCGTATGCAGGCAGCAGATCCTCCGTTTGCCCGTCTGCACTGACAAGGGCACTAGGGTAGCCCTGGGCACGCCGGCGCTGCGGTGTCTTTGGGGGGAGGGGTCACAGAGCACGCAGCAGCAGCAGCAGCAACAGCAAAGGCAGCAGCAGCAGCAGGCGATGTTGCTGCAGCTTTACAGACAGCTGCTTCCCGATTGTCTATTCCTTTCATCTGCGTACTCCCGAGTTGTCTCTCTTCCCACTTGGGGGCAATTCTGTGAGCTTGTCGGGCTGCAGCGCCTGCTGGAGGTTTCCTCTGTCAGGTACTGGCTGCACATCGATGCGCCGCCACAGAAGCTGCAGCAGGAGCAGCACGAGCAGCAGCAACAGCAACAGGTTTTTAACGCCACTTCACGCATCAAACTCGCCGCCGTGAATGGTGTCCCAGTACCTGAGGAGAGCAGCGGCTGCAGTGTGACAGAGGAGCTGCTGGTGCAGCTGTCCCGTTGGTGGGAGACCCCGAGGCTGCAGTGGCTGCAGGCGGCGCTTCAGCAGCAAGGCTGGGATGTCTCCGATGCACCATATGACCCCGCTGCAGCCGCTGTCTCCTCAGGTGTGTCCGTGTTGGTGGAGGACTTCGTCTGCCTCGACTTCGAGCGACTCGTTGCCGCCGCTACCGCCGTTACTGCTGCTGCCGGAAGCATCAGCAGCGGCAACAACAGCAGCAGCGGCAGCTGCAGCGAACAGGTACAGACTATGGTGCGGCTGCCGCTGCAACGGGTGTTGCCGGTCAGGCGAGAGCTGCAGCAAGCTGAAAGCCTTTCCTTGCGTCTTGTGGTTGGAGTCTTAGCGGAGGCGCAGCAGCGCTGGCAGCACTATAAGCGCTTGCGCTGGCAGCTATGTGCTTCCGGCGCAGCAGCAACAGCATCATCCGCGGCAGAAGGGCAGTTCACACTGCAGCAGCAGCAGCAGCAGCAGGAGAGCTCATCTTGTAGCGAACGATGGGAGGCAGCCGCTTCAGGACTGCGGCAGCCGGTGGCTGCGCTTCTCGCCGGAGGAGATGCAACCTCCTCCCTGCTTATGCAACTGCGCTGCAGTGCATGGCTGCCGGCAGTTGCGTGTGACGCCTTATCTATCTCTGGAACCGCAGCATTACAGGGCGGGAAGGCACAGCAGCAGCAGCAGCAGCTCTTCGTGCTCGACTGTGAGGGAGACCAAAGCTCTTCGGACAGCAGCAGCTCAAGCAGCACGGATAGCCAGGAGGAAGCAGCAGGATCACTGCCGCCGATGGGACGCAGAAGCAACAGCGCAAATGGCACGCCTCGCCGGATGAATAGCAAGAAGCGCTGTATCCATCTGGTCGACGACTCCGGCAGCAGCAGCAGCATTCGCACTCGGAGCAGGAGCAGCAGCAGCACTGCCGATCCCTCCGCAAGTGCTGCTGCATGCCACACCATCAGAGACGACAGCCCTTCACCCCGCGCGTGCCTTAGATGCGCCGGTAACAACGACATCAGGGGCAACAGCAGAAGCAGCAGTAGCAACACCATCAGCGGTAACAACAACAGCAACAACGCGCACTGGCACTGGCGGTTCGTGGGTCTGCGTAAGCCGCAAGAGCTAGCAGCGCCCACGAGCAAGTGCGTCGAGGTGTACGGACGGCTGGTAGAATATCTGCACCCTCTAGCGGAACGATTGTTGCAGCAGCAGGAGCAGCCACAACAGCCCCAAGAGCCGCAACAGCCGCAGCAGCTTGGGGTGGAGGTTCAGCATCCGCTGCGCAGCAGCAGAACCAGCAGCGCTCTTGACTCGTTAGCCGACGCGGGAAGCTGCCTGGACACCCCTGAGATTGAAGAACTGCTGCCAGCTTCACCGGAGGGCCCTGCAGCAGCAGCAGCACTTGATTTGCTGTTTGCTTGCGGGTGCTTGTCGCGTGCAGCGCACTGGTTGGAGGAACGTTTGACGCCGGCCAAGGCAGCCAGGGCAGCAGCAGCAGCACATAGTGCATACAGCAGGGAGGAACCAGAGGGACTCCACCGAATGCCAGAAGAGGCGACGGCTGCAAACGTGCTGCTGTCTCTTTCTTCTCATCTGCAGCGCGGAAGAAGCCCAGTGGCGAGTACTCTGCCGGGGGCAGGAGGCCACGGCGACAGCAGCAGCAGCAAGGACAGCAGCAACAACAGCAGCAACGACGGCGGCAGCATGGGCGGCGTGAATGGCTGCGGAGCTGGAGGAACGTCTTCACGCGACGCGCCTCTCTCCCTGGCGGCCTGCTTCTTAGCGGCAGCTGACGCGTCTTGCAGGGAAGGGCGATGCTGCTGCAACCACAGCAGCAAAGGCAGTAGTAACAGCAGCGACTGCAGCGAGAAGCTCATGAGCTGCAGCTGCCTGTATCAGCACTTGGGAGGCCGCAGCGTCTCCTTATTTTGCTGCTGCTGTATCACAGTTGTCAGAGACTGTTTTGGCTTGCTGCAGTATCTCGCTCGTATGCGGCATCCAGCAGCGACTGCAGCGGCAGCGGTAACAACAGCAGCAACTGGCGCTGTGACGGCAGCAGTAGAGCAGCAGCCCAGCCTCTGGACTGTCCGCAGTTGCGGACAGGCTGTGCTGCTTCCGCAACCTGCAGCCCCCGCGACCTTGCTAGGGGATTCAGAACAATCCGCTGTTGCTGATCCTGCTGCTGCTGCAGCTACTCTTGGCTGCTGCATCAGCTGGAGGGCACCGTCTGAGTCGATCTTCCGCCTTCCGCTGGGGGCCCCCCTTGCAGCCTTTCGCAGGTGCTGGCCTTTAGAGGACATCGCGCTGCTGCTGGACAGACAATGCACTCAGGTGACGCAGCCTCGCCCCACAGAGCCGTCGCTTTCCGTCGAGCAGCAGCAGCAACAGCAGCAGCAGCAACAGCAGCAACAACAGCAGCAGCAGCTGCGGCTTGCTGAGCTGGATGTCTTTTTGCTGCAAGATCTGTGCGTAACAGAATACCCGTCCCTCAAGGACTGCGTCGAGGCCCTGGCTCGGCTAACAAACTCAGGAAGGGTACTTTCGGGGGGTGAAGGGGGAAGGGCGACGCCTGCAGCAACAGCTACAGCAGCGACAGCAGCAGGAATTGCTACTGGCACACACCAACGGCAGGTTACGCATGCGCTGCCCGGCAGGCCCCGCAAACTGCGGCGGTATGCAGCTGCAAATGACGACGGCCCAAGCCCGTTGTCGCCCCTTGCTGCAGTGCATGACTCAGGTTCAGCAGCAGCTGCAACAACACCAGCGGCAGCAATAGCATCAGCATTCCCGGTTAAGTGCGTTGACAGCAGGCTGCTGTTGCATGTAGTTGCGCTCTTGCTGCACCTCGACCAACACTGCAGCAGCAGCAGCCTCAGTCTCCACTCCGTCATAAGAGGGCTTCCTGTGGTCCCGTGCTTTCAGCTGTCTCCATCCTCCGCTGTCTCCTCCAAGGGTCCTCGCTGTGCCGCTAATGTTTCTAACGGCGTACTGCAGCTGCGGCTGCTGCCCGTGGGGAGCCCTATGTGGCTGCGTCTGACAGCGCGGGATTGCCGGCTGTGGGAGCTGCTGCAGGCTGGTGCAGCAGCAGCAGCAGCTACAGGATCCACAGTGCAGCGAGGAGATATCGAGGTTGACTGGCCTCCTGGGGATGGCCGAGATAGATCAATGTGGGGCGAAGAATCGAAGGGGCTCGGTTATCCTTCAGTTGTGTGGTACTGTGGGGCTGGATGCAGCTGGGGAGACCTCGCCGTCTCTGCTGCAGTGAGCGACTGCAGCAAAGACGAAGGCGGCAAGCTGTGCGGTGCTTGCGATGCTCTGGTGAGTCGGCGCCTGCAGCACCAGGGCTTGCAGGGACGGCAACCCGTGCTGCAGGCCTGGCTGCAGTTGCTGCAGCAGCGGCTGGCTGTGGGGCCCCTCAGCTCTGCCTGCTTGGTGCAGCTGACTGCGGCTCCTCTTCTGTGTCTCCGTGGCGCGGCATCGTCGCTGGAGACGATCCCGCTCAGGGCGCCTTCTTATGACTCCAGACAGCTGGCGCAAGGCCTCGCCCTCGAAGGCTTGAGACAGAGGCTGCTGCTGCTGCTGCTGCCGGCCGCCCGACGCTACCTCCTCCGCAGAGACACACACCGCTACCTCTTATTGCAGCGCCAGTGGCTCCAGGACCGCCAGAAGCAGCAACAGATGATCTCAGGGGAGTCCCCTGAGGATATGCGCAAGCCGTGCTGGCTGCAGCTGCTGCAGCGTCTGTTGTTGCTGCTCTGCAGGGAACTCCGCAGCAGAGTTTGTTGCGTCGAGTCAGGGGCAACGGGGCCCTGGGAAGCCTGTCCCGCAGCGTTGCAGTGGGAGAACATCCTCGAAGGAGACGAAGAGCTCCCAGCCAGTTACAGCGGTAGCAGTAATATTGCCAGTAGCAGCAACAGCAGCGCCAGCACTGCCAACAGCAGCAGCAGCAACAGCAGCACCTGGAGCAGCCAGTGCTTGAACGGACAGAACAGGTGGGAGACAGAGGACACGGCTGGAGCCTCCTCTCCTCTCTTCTTGGCATGGGACGTAAGACACGAGTCTCTGAGTGCTGCTCTTGTGCAGCTAGAAGTAGTCGAGGGCAGCAGCAGCAGCAGCAGGAACAGCGATGCTCAAGTCGGGAGGTTGTTTGCTGCAGCGCATGCAGACGATCTGCAGGAACTGCTGCTGCCATCTTTCCCTGGGGATTTTTTCAATGAGTTTTCTCGGATATTTTCGCTAAGGGGGAGAAGGGATGAGCCTCTTGCCTCTTTTTTGTTGCTGGTATATTCACGGTTGCAGCACAAGTTGCTTCAGTGGCTCATGCGGCCCCCGGAGGGTGGCGTGCTCCGTTTGTTGCAGGGACTGCAGCGTAGCAGAAGCAGCTTCTGCTGCAGACTGTCCACTGCTGCTGCTGCAGCAATCGTGGGAGCAGCATTAGAGGACTGCCTCAAGGCTGAGGGCCTCTGGGATGAACCCCTAGATACCCCCGAACTGCAGCAGCGCTGCATTGCAGGTATACGGGAGATTGTTCAGGCTGGGAGCAGCAGCAGTAGCAGCAACGTTGCTACTGGTAGCCGTTCTTCTGCTGCTGAGTTGACAGAGGGCACAACGGCAAGTGCCTCTGAGGTGCTTCGGCTGCTGGAGGAGGAAGCAGCTGCAGCAAGCGAGAGGATGGGAAGAATAGAAGAGGGTACAACGGGGCATCTGTGGTTGCTGCGCGACGCTTGGTTCGTACTTATGGCTAGCGGGGACGTTGCGGAGACAATTCCTGCGGCATCTGCTGCACTTCAAGACACAGAGGCAGCAGATGCAGCAGAAGAAGCAGGAGATGCAGCTAGTGAGACGGCAACAGCAGCAGAACAAGTCGATACAATCATGCAAGATATGAAGGAACCTCTAGAAGGGAGCGGAGAGTCCCCTGGGAACGTGCGGAGGAGGCAGGGATCACACGACGCCGCTGCTGGTGCGCGCAAAGGGGACAGAGATGAAGGGCAGCAGGGCGCTGCCTCGCGCAGCCGCGTCAGCTGCAGTGGCAGCAGCAATGGGAGTCGCAGTAGTTGCAGCAGCAGCAGAAGCAGCAAGGACAGCAGCAGTGATGTGGAGGAGTTGTCTCCTGAGGCAGCTGGGTGGGAGGAGGGCGCCGAGGAGGCTGCAGCTGTAACTGCAGCCAGACGCTCTCCATGGAGATCTCCTCCCAGAGTCGATACACTGCAGGAGGAGGCGCTGTTCGGGTCGCTGCACAGATCGGGAGAAGACCCACGGGCAGCGGAGGCCCCCTCCGCATGGGGGCCCCAAGGAGACAGTCAACCTGGACAGGGGACAGGTTCCCGTCTCCAAGAAGCCTTCAGTGAGGAACAGTTCGTCTCCCTGGGCGAGTTCGAGGCGCAGGCCGTAGAATTACGTCAAGAGTAAGCAGACACAGAGACACTTGAAAAAGAGACAAAGATACTGACACAAAGATATAAGAGGACACAGTTCAGCAGGAGATCAGTGCTGAGACAGGAAAAGGCCAAGAAAGAGACAGGAGCCCTAGGAGACACATGAGGGAGAGACAGGGATAGAGGGGGATAAAGATGGAGAGAGAGCTACATGACAGTAGAAAGAGAAAAAGGGAATAGGTGGAGATACACGCATATCCAGATAAGGGAGTAGACAGGGACAAATCTCGGGAGAGATAAAGGGAGAGAGGAGTCAAACAAGATATAGAAATACCGAATAGTGACAAGGAGAGAGACAGAGTGAAGAGAACCCGGTAGAATATATATATATATATATATATATATATATATATATATATATATATATATATATATATATATATATATATACATTACTGCAGGTGTTTTTTCTATGCGCTGAATTCCGATAGATTGCGGTGTGCTTGTTGCTGCGGCAGGGATAGAGAGGCTGTGGCTCCGTTCTTGGCTTCCTCCTCAGGGGGAAGGGATTCTGCTGCTGCAGCACGCAGGGGGGAAGCTCTAGTGTACAGGTATCTGCAGCGGCTGCTGCAGCAGCAGCTGGCAGACAAGACGGCGCAGGTTTTGTGGCTGAATGAAGAACACGAGAGCGGACAGAGCTATGATATCCTTGTCAAGGTACGTTTTCCAAGGAGACGAAAGGAGAGGCTAAACGCAACACAAGATGTCCCCTCGGGCAGTGTGGGCTCCAGACGGCGCCTCAAGAAAGCTGCTGGCCGGTCACGCAGCTGCATCGTGGCTTGCGTCTGCATGCATGCGGTTTCATACATTGAATTACATGCAAACGCTTCTTGGGGGTGGGGTGTTGTTGGCCTGCTGCAGGAGTATCCGCCTGTGGGTGCATGCGCCCCACCGCGGCTAACGTTTGTAGAGGTGAAGAGCAGCACAACTCGGCACAAGAGCTACTTCGAGGTCTCCCACAGGGAGTGGAATCTGGCCCAGCAACACGTGAGCTCTCTATAGGAGACACTGTGTAGACGGCTCTTCTTGGTCTGTTCAGCAGCAGCACCAGCAGTAGCAGCAGCAGCAACTGCAGTAGCAGCAGCAGCAGCAGCAGTAGCCGTAGCAGCAGCAGCACTTGACGCACCCTTCTCATTCTATAAAATCCTCCCAGCCCAAAGGGAACAGTAAACGTGTGGACATACGGCACGCATCATGTCTAGCTCAAACCCATCTGCTGCTGCTCCTGCTGTTGCTGGCAGAATAGGCGCAGCTGCAGTGTAGGGTGTGTTGAATGTATGCACCAATGCAGTGGTTGCAGGCAGGGTGAGCTGTACCAGCCTGCTGTGAGTTGCTGAGGGCTTAGTTTGTAGCTGCCAGGGAGCAGACGTTCATCAGCCCTGCTGTTCCCGCGTGTCACTGCGCATCTTCTGCAGGGAGACAACTTTCATATATACAGAGTCCTCGAGGCGAACTCCGCGCAGCCTCAGATCTTCCGGTGAGGGTCGCCCCCCCTTTTGGGTGCATGCGTTGGTTGCCTTTATTGCGTGGAGTGGCTTGAGCAGACGCGCTACCATCTGTTACTCTATATTTGGTTGCTTTTCATTCTCTGTTGCTGTCTCTGTTGCTCTTGCTCTGCGTTGCAGCATCGTCAACCCGTACTTGCAGTGGAAGCAAAAGCGCATTGGCCTCTGCATAGCGCTGTGAAGGCAGAGGCTAAAGAGCCACTGAAACGGGGTTGTTGAAGGCCGTATCTGTGCTGCATCTGCGCAGCGTAGCCTCAACTATCTGCGGTGTACATACACCTCCTACATTCGCAGTGAACTGGGAAGAGGCCTGGATGGCTATAGAGCTAACAAAGGCCGTTTTATTGATGTAAGGGCGCTCGATTCCATCGATAGATAACGTTAAGCCCAAAGCTGTCAACCCTAAAACCCATTTCCTTTTCGGCTTTGCCACTGCTGGCGACTTGTACACCTGGAGACCTCACTTTGTCTCTGACATCCACCCTTCACTGCATGCAGAACGAGAGGCAGCGGTCCGTAGCCAGGTGTATAGACACTTCTTAGTTAGGAGAAAGAGTCACTGAACGCGACAGAACTGAAGGGCCGAAGCAAACAGAGGAAAACGGATACCGTGGCAACCCCTGACTGCAGCAGAGGCTCTGCAGATATCTCACACTAGAGAAGAACGCTTACAAGTATTTCAGTGCTTGTGTTTTGCTCCACACGCATGACGTAGGGGTCGAGCAGCAGCCGCTTCGCGGCCGTACACACGTGGGTAGACGTGGTACTGCTCAGTGCTGCCGGATGAACACAACTGTTTGCAGATACATAGATAGAGCTCCCCAATCATGGACCTCCATGCAGGAGCATGCAGACTCATGCCCCATGAATCAACACATTGTTGTAGCTGTGCAAACGGCGCGCACGAGCACGCCTTGGGCACTTCCACATGGGCCTGCAGCCATCCACGCTATCCCCGGGAACTGTACTGCCTGATGTATCCAGTTGAGCTGAATGGTTGAGGTGTACGTACAGTTCGGCTCGTTTGTGTTCTGTCGCTAAGCGAAAAGAAGATACCGCTTTCTCGGGATGCATTGCATGCGGCTGGTGAAGCACTTCGCATTTCGTGCAGTCTAATGAGCAAACATCATTCCTTCCTTCATTGGGCAATTCAGAAGAAGACGAAGAACACCTGAAATGGCATTAACTGCCTCTCTAACAGCCGGCGTGTTGCAGTGCGGGATTCGCCTATGTCTGTTTCTTCTCTATCCTTGACTACAACAGCAAATATGGAACTAATTCCTTAGTGGAACGCATTATATTGATTAATGCACATGTGTACAGTTTTACACAACCATTTCCTTGGAAGAAGGACAGGAAGACCTTAAGCGGGCCCCTGACCATGAGGGCCCCCCGACCGTGAGGGCCCCCCGAGCATTAGGGGCCCCCCAACCAGGGGATTAAGTCTGTCTGCATGAAGGCTATATTTCTTTTGAATCCCTTTACGGGTATTTGTCTCTGACTGTCTTTATTTCGGTGATTGCTTAGAGAGAAGAATCACGCGAAAGATTTTTTCCAGCATTTTGGGCCCCCTCTGCTGCAGCTGTTGTTCGCTAAGGGGCCTCGGGAGGGAAAACGCCAATTGTTTGCCTCCGGCACGATGAAAAGGGGGAGATACAGGGGCCCCCACAAGAGCGGGGGCCCCCCTACGGCAGGAGCTGCGGCAGTGCGGGAAGCTATCAACGACTCGCAACGCAGACGCCAAAAGAGGACAAAATTCTCTGCTGGAAAGCAGGAACAGCCAAGGAGCAGAACAGCAATAAAAGGAAACTATGCAGGGTAGGGGAATCTCCGAAAGTATCGCTTCAGACTGAGACTTCACGCGCAAAGCCTAGGCCTAAAGGGAAAGAATGTAGGGTTTAAGACAAAGGGTTCAAAACCCGGTGTACGTACACCTGAAACCGATTCTGAAGGCTTGCGCCGCAGGTTCTGCCCGTGGAAGGAAACCCCCAACGGAGGGCCGCTGCCTGAGATCGACCGGGTGTTGGTGAATGAATACATTCAGTGCTGCAGCAACTGCACGGGCAGCAGCAGCAACTGCAGCAACAGCAATTGCAGCAGCAGCACCAACTGCAGCAGCAGCAAAAACAACAACAACAACGGCAGCAATGCATCAGGGAGTGTATCTTCTGCGTTGTGCCCCTCTTGTTTCTTCAATTTGTATATCAAGCCTCGCAAGCCATGTCTGTTGCGTCTGGTGCGGGAGGAAAGCCCCACAACGTGCATGCAAGCATCAGACGCGCTGGCAGATGCGCGAGCTCTGAAGCACTGGAAGGACCTCAACTACCTGAAGCAGACTGCCGGCCATGAAACAATTGACGTCGAGATCAGGGGCGCCCAGGGGGCCCCCAGCTTCGGTGGGGCCCCATAGAAGCTTCATACCTTAGGGAGCTGCCTAAGAGGCGTATATGCATGTTTACATCTGGGAATTGCCCCGATGTGTCTGCTGTTGCTGCTGTTGCTGTTGCTGCTGCTGTTACTGCTGCTGCAGGAAAGGGACAGTACCAGCAGCTGCCTTTTGGGGAGGTGTTGCAGAGGCTGCAGAGAGGGGACACTTCGTTGTACGTGACAACACAGCGCATAGCCAGCGACAAATATGGTGGGTATTTGTCTCTTCTTCACCTCTCTTTAGCCTTGGTTTGCGTTTGCTGCATTTTTTGCGTTAATTGGCTGCAACTGTACAACAGTATCTGCAAGCAGACACGCGCCAAGGCTCCATCTGCTACTGCTGTTGTCGCTGCAGCTGTTGCTGCGGTTGTCGCTGCAAATGTTGCTGCAGTTGCTCCTGCAGCGGCAGCGGCAGCAGCTGCTGCTGCATCTGTTTCTCGTATTTTGTTGCGACTTGGCTGGCAGTTGCAGCAGCAGCACCAGCAGCAGCAAGAACAGCCGCTGCAGGGCATAGCCGTTAGATAAGGTGCTGTGTTATTTGTGTGGGCGATATCGCTGCTGGTGCTTCGGCTGTCCCGCTAACCACTGCTGCTGCCGCTCGCTGATGCGTTGGCTGTGCTGCAGGCCCCAAGGCTGTATGTGGCGCGCCCTTGAGCGGGTCTTTGGCGGGGGACTTCCCTACGGCGCCTGCCTTGGCAGGGTGAGGCGATGCTGGGGGGTTGTGGCGATAGACTGGGTGCTGTGGTGTACGTACGCCGTGCTTGAGGAGCAGTATTGCTGCTGAAGGGCTTGGGCTGCTGGCGTAGTGCTGCGGTGTATCTGCTGCTATTATGGGTGTACATCTGGGGTGTATGTACACACGTATATGAGGCGGTGGGTAATGGGTTGCTTTGTTGCTCTGCAGACACCTCATTGTCTCCCAGTTTAATATCTGGATGGGGCACAGCAACCAGGGGAGCAGCACGGGGCTGCATCATGATTTCCACGACAACTTCTATTGTCTTCTGCGCGGTATGTGAGCGCTTTTAGGGTTTAGAGTTCATATAGTACGTATAGATATATAATGTGCATAAATGCATGTATTTGTAAACTCATATACATAGACACGTACACACACATATGCATGCATATGTGGATACATCTAATGTATACACATATATACTGTTTAATAATATATAGAGATGTGTGTATATGTGTTATGTGTGGCGCATGTACGTAGGGAAGAAGGAGTTTCGGCTGTACAGCCCCCGGCTCTGCGGTTTGTTGAGGCCTTGGGGCTGCATGAGGAGCTCCAACTGCCCTGCCATTCATCCTAATGGGCTTATTTCCTATATCCCATCCATTCGAGAAGACGGTGGGTGCCCGTCGTGCGTTCGATTCAAGCCTTCAGGGTTTAGGGTTTAGGGTTTAGGGTTTAGGGCCTAGGGTTCGTTGAAGGGCTTTGGGCTGCCCCTCGGTGTGGCTGTAGAGTCCAGCGTTTAGTGTTTAGGGTTTAGGTTTAGGGTTCATAGTTTAGGGTTTGGGTCTTAGGGTTTTGGATTTAGAGGATTGACTGCACGCGTAGGGAATGCTTCGCTCGTCAAGGGTTTAGGGTCTAGGGTTTAGATGCAGCAACAGCCGCAGGATACCTCCGAGTGTCTTTTTGACTGTCTCTTGTCTTAAGCGGCGGCTGCATTGGGTGTAGGTGTTGATATTGCACGTGCTGGTTTTAGGATATTAGGATCTAGGGTCTAGGGTTTAGGGTTTGTGCTGCAGGTGCGCATGAGGGCACCGTGCTGCGGTCACGGCAAATGGCTCTGGAGGAGAGCATAAGAGAGTTGGAGCAGCAGCTGCTCAGCACCAAGGCGGGGCTGCATGCAGCGGAAGCAAGCGGGAAGGAGACTGGCGGCTTCAGCGCTGAGATTAAGCTTCTTGAGGACAAACTGGCCCAGGCTGAGGCCGAGTAGGTCTTAACACGTTTGTGCACTGCAGCACAAAGCACGCAACAATGTTCCTTCTGTCTCCTTTTTCTTTCTTGCCCGCTTTGCAAACAGTACACAGAACTCCTGTTTCTTGTTTTTTTTTTGTTTGTACTTCTTTTGTATTCTCCCCTGTTTTCGTTTGTTCATAGCCAGCTTTCTCTCCTCTGATCATGACATGTGCGTCTCCATCTAGTTGTTGTTTCTCTTTGGCGTTGCTTATGTGCCTCCTCCTCTTTGTGTCCTTCAGTTTACATCTTGTCTCTTGCTGTATATCCCTTTCTGTCTGTTCTGCCTTCCTGTCTGTCTCCTTTGTCTGGTAGCCTCGACGAGTGTCTCGAAGCTGCGCTGGCTGCAGCTGGTGAAGACAGCGACTGTGACGATGGTGACTCAGCAGGCAGCGACGGTGATATAAACCAAGTCAGTCACACGCAAACCCTAAACCCTAAACCCCTTTTCTCGCGGAAGCCACCCGCTTTGCACTGCGCGTTGCTCTGTTCTTCTTTAAGTGTGCTGCCAAATGTTGAGGCCCTTTAGCTGCTTTCAGTTGACTCTCCTCAGCCGAGCCCCAGCTCTAGTTGAACCATCGGGGTGTCTGTATACTGCGTTCCCTGCATGCATTGCATGCGCTGCATGCGGCTCTTGGGCTGTGTTTGCATGTTTAGGGTCGCCTCGTAAAAGAAGGCGAAACGCCTGATCATTTTTGTCTCGAGAACACCCGGCGTTGTGCAGCAGGTATGCATCCAGCCCCAATCGATGTTTACATGGCGCATACACTGAAGATGTACATTGCATGCAACAGCAACAGGCTGCTTATATCATGCTGCATGCATATGCTTTAAGCCGCTGCTTACGTCCTGTGGCTGTGTTCTGCCTGTGCAGCCTCATGGGAAGGCCCCGTGACAGCATCGAACTGCTTGGAGCGCTTCTGGAGTGTCTGGGTGACAGAAGGAGACATATGTAAGCCTGAATTGCTCTTCCCCTGTCTGTTTTAGTTTCTTCAGCAACTGCATGTATCTGTCTCACTAGGGGTCGAGACTCCGAAGCTGTTGTGTATCCGCACACTACACGCCAACTAGACCCTAAGCCCCAGACCCTCGGCTTCACCTGAGGCACCCGAAGGGCAGCCTACATACATGCATATAGCTGGAGAAGTGCGCATGCGTGGGTGCATGCATGCATACATGCATATTTGGTTGTGGGTATGCATGCGTTGCAGTGTATTTACCTGCCAGTTGGTTTCATGAGGTTATCTCCTACTCTGGAAACAGTGTGAAGCAGACAGCAGCAAACATCAGCGAAGATAGTCGACAAGATGTAGACCCAGTACACCTGGCATTTAACATATGGCTGCATCCCCCCGCCTCAGATGGCACATTTGAGCAGCCCTATTGTGACTCCTTCTGGGCCCAGCATGCAGCCAAGCAGCTGCAGCAGCTGCAGCAGCATGCATCACGGGACACTGCAGCTGCAGCGACAAAGAAAAAAGCCTGCGATGGCCTCATACAGGCCAGTATACCTGCCACCAACGGACCTCAGGCCCGAGAGGCATGCGGGTCAGTGCCTGGCGATCGTGTGTTGACAGGGCGGGGCTGCTGCAGCAGTGCAGCACCTGCAGCAACTCCAGCAGCAGGAGAAACTGCAGCACCTGCATCTTCTCTCAAGCCCAGGCCCAAGTGCTGCACTAAGCGGGCTGGATGTTACATTCACCTCAAGGCAGTGCCGCGGTCCCGTGCCCTTGTGAGGCTTCGGCGACTGAGAGGTACTCTGAAGAGGAAGGCATACAAATGACTGCCGTTTATCCCATCAGTTGATGCATGCGTGCTCATGCATATATTTGCCATTGTCTCTGTTTCTTCTTTTCTCTTATCTTATGTTGCTTCGTGCATCGCGAGACAGTACACACACCACAGCGGTATCTGTACGGTGGACTGATGCTGCGGCGGGCAGTGACCCCCTGTCAACATCTGTCGTGGAGGCAGAAGCAGGCGCAAGCAGCACCAAGAGACACACACGGAAATCGCAGAGAGAGACAGCAATAGAGGGATAGCTGGGCTTGCACCCACAGAAAGACGCGCAGGCAAACGCACGGCGATAGAGGCTGAAATGGAGACAACAACCAACCTGTACAAAACAGCCAAGCTGCCTCCGTAGGAAGAGACACGCGTGCAATGGCAGCGGCAAACACGCAGAGAAAATAAGATGCACTCCAGAAGGAGACAAGTAAAGACACCGCACCGAGGGCTCTTCGTCGGCCTTTCATATGGTTGCGCTTGCGTGTGGGGTTTCCCCGCTGCACTCGTTACAGCGGGGTGCGTTGCAATCCATCTCAGACAGCCCTCTTCTCCCTGGGCCGCTGGGCTCACGCCGCCTGGGAACTGGACGGGAGGTTGGCTATATTTGTAAACTACTATCCTTAGTGGTATGAATTTGCCGCAGCGACCGACGGTCCTGGGGCCCGTACAGGAACCCCCCTTTTTCAGCGGGAGTCGTATCTTAAGTACTTTGGCTGTGGTGGAGCTGATGATGCTGCTCTAGTAAGATCACATAGTTCCACTTTACCTACCGGTGCAGCGTTGCAGCTATCGAAACAGGCAGACGCCATGCAGTGTTTGTATCTTTGGGAGGATGACCATTGCTCATTTGTTCTCTTTCTTATCGCGTACCCTATGTGAATCATTTTCTCTATGATGGGTATCTCCCGGTGTACATAATGTGCATGGAGTGCTGCGCCGCAGCGGCGGGTGTGTGGTTAACACGAGCTTTTCTCGCGTGTGTTTGCCGCGTTCGTTTCCATTGAAATCGTTTGAAATAAATACATAATTGGGCATCTACTTGAATTCGATGAACTTTAAAGAGCATTTTCCTCTGGACGAGAGCCTGCTCTCTCAGCAAGGAGCTGCATGCGTATGCCGCAGCCTCTGCAGACGGCTGCTTGGCTTCCGCGGGTCGTATTGAGTTGGGGAGTGTCAGAAGCTGTGGATTTGTGTGTTTGCGATTTCTTTATAGTAGAATTAGGGGTTCTAAGGGCCTTGTATTGGTCTAATTCGGGGCCTCTACCTCTCCTGCCGCTGCGGGTGCCATTGCCGCCTCCGCTGCTGCTGCCGCTGCTGCTGCTGCGCACATGTCGCCGTCTGCAGCAGCTCGAGTGCCTCATCTGGGGTCCCTGCGGGGCCCCAGCAGCTTGATGTATCCGCGGGGTCTTTTCGCTCCCTTGTGCTCGGTGGGGCGGGGCCCCCACCTGACACCGCTGGTGCAGCAGGGCGCATCTCTGGCTGCTCTGGCTCCTTTGGCTCGCCGTTTCAGCACTTTCAACCACAACATAGGGCCACACAAGTCGGAGCCACCTGCGAGCGAGAAGCCCCTGTTTCTGAATCGCTTTGACCAGGCGGATGACCCCTCGTTGTTCGTTTTGGAAGCCGAGGAACTGCAGCGACGACGGGAAGCTCTGCAGGTGCAGAACAAAGATGATGCTCTTATTGATGCAGCAGACATCGTCCAGCCTTCTAACCACCCCCATCAGCGGAAGGGCTTCTTCAGGCGTATGCGGTACTGGCATTATCATCAGACAGCTGAGCCCACCTTCCCTCGTCCTCCCGATCTCAGCAAAGGAGGTGAGGTATCTGTATAGCTGCAGCAGAACAAACAATAAGACGATTGGTTCATCGATGCAGCGGACACTGTATGTTGTCTATTGCTTGCTTTTCGTTCTTCGTCTGCTTCATTCTTCTATGTGTATTTGTTTGTTTGCTGTTGCTGATACATAAACAACCGCCCTTCTGTCTTGTTTGTTGATGGGGTTCAGAGCTGGCTGCGGGTGCAACCGTGACAAGGACAACTGTATGGAATAACGAAGACGAGCCTGCAGTGGTCTCAATCGGGCGCTTTGCCCCTGAAAACTTCCGCCCTGTCGGCTACGCAGAGAATGCCCCCAACCCCACCAGCATCAACAGCGACGCTCACCCCGATTTCAGAGACTACAGGCTCGGCAGTGGCAGCCCAGATAGAAGGCCCTTCATGTATTTCTTGAGTGCATCGTACTTCTTCATCGGTGCCAGTATGATGCGCAGCCTGCTATGCAAAATGGTACACTTCTGGTGGGTCAGCAAGGTAAGCAACTTACTCCTCGTCCTCCCTTTGCTGCTGCTCCTGCTCATGCACGCGCTCATGCTGCTGCTGCTTTTGACGATAATGTTTCTGATGCTGCTGCTGCTGCTGCGCAGGATTTGATGGCAGCAGGCACAACGGAGATCGATTTGCGGCCAATTGAGCCGGGGACAACGGCGGTGTTCAAGTGGAGAGGAAAGCCCGTCTTTGTGCGTCACAGAACGGAGGAGGAGATAGAGAGAGCAAGGCAAGGCTACAGCCACTTCGTCCCTGTTGTCTTTTGTTTGCCTTCTGTTTGTTTTGTTTTGTTCCTCTTGTTTTGTTTTTCTTGTTTATTTGCTGTTTTCCTTGCGGGATACATTCCTCTTTTGTAGTATTTGTGTGCATCCAAGCCACAAAAGGGGAGATGTTGCTGCTCCTCTACCTGTCCCTGAGTTGCCTTCTGTATCTTTTGCTGTTGCTGCGGCTGCGGTTGTGTGTTATACTTGCGCATGTCTCTGTTGCTGCTGCTGCCGGAGTCTGCTGCTGCTGCTGTAGTCTATTGCTGATGCCGCTTTATTGTCAATGTGCGTGTTGCTACTACTTCAGTGTACTGCTGCTGCTGGTATAGTCGATCGCAGCTACATCTAAAGTCTATCACTGCTGCTTCTCTAGCCTGTCGCTACTGCGGCTTTAATGTATTTTTGCTTTTGCTGCAGGGCGGACGATTTGCTCGTGGGTACTATGAAGGACCCCCAGATGGACGCGGAGCGATGCCCCCGACCTGAATGGCTGATTAACATTGGCGTCTGCACACACTTGGGCTGTATCCCGGTCGAGGGTGGCAGCTACCACGGCTGGTTCTGCCCCTGCCACGGCTCGCACTACGATATCTCAGGTAATAAATTATCTATATAGTATGTACTTTTATAGTGATGTGTATTTTTATTAAAAAGCTTGGATAGGCCCAACGAACTGCAAGGCATACACAAAGGAAAGCAGTGTGCAGATGCTGTAGCTGCTGGGGGTGTAGCCGCTCTGGGGTGTATGAGCACTTTGAGGTATAAGAGGCTTGTGCGGTCTATGAGCTGTGGAGTGCATAAGTTGTCGGGGGTACAGGCGTTTTGGGGTGTCAAGGATGCTGTTTAGGGTGTGGCGTGGCATCGGGTGTGAGATGTTATGTGGGGTTTGCGGATGCGTATTGAGGTGTATGGGCTGGGGTGTATGGGTGCATATTGAGGTGTATGTATGCGTATTGGGGTGTGTGGATGCGTATTGGGGTGTATACAGGCCGTGTCCGTCAGGGCCCGGCGCCGACGAATTTGGAAGTCCCCGAGATGGTATTTTTGGATGATCTCACCGTGAAGTTGGGTTAAGAGGGCCTTTATATAGACTGAACGAAAAATACAAATAAAGGAACACAAGAGATGTACAAGAGGCAGCAAGCAAACAAGCAAACAAGCAAAGAAACACACGGAAAGACAAATTGAATTGAACTCCAGCCAACAAGTGACAGCAGCGTAGCAGCCCACAGTTTAAAGAGCTCAAGGGTTTAGGGTTTGATGCGCTCAAATACAAAAGTAGCTGCAGCAAAAGATGCTGCTGCTGGGGAGCCCGGACTGTGCCTCGTCCTGGTGTTGCCCTTGGGGCATACCAACACACAGGGGGACACCCAACGCATACACACACATCTGCATCATAGGTTTCACTAACATATATATACATATATACATATATATATATATATATATATATATATATATATATATATATATATATATATATATATACTGGAGAAGGATGCAAGAGGCTTGAGGCCTGCACTGTTTGTTCCCGTAGGCAGCAGCAGGCTGTCGGGGCCAGTGTGGAGCTGCATTTGGCCTGCAGTACTGGGGGGTAGCAGCAGCACCTGGTGTTTGTTTTGTTGCTGTAGTATATTTCTTTTTCGCGCGTTGAGGCGTACGAACAGCAGGCTTCCGCCTTTGTCTTCCACACTGTATGGAGGACAACGGGGGATTACCTGCACGCGCCCGCCGTTGCGTTGAAACTCGAGAGACAGAACCAGCAGCAACGCCTACTCTTTAGCCCTTCTCTCTGCCGCAGTGTGCTGCAGCCAAGTGCTGCAAGGGTCGCAGCCTTCAGAGAACGAGACAATGCGGGGAGCTGTGATGGAACGATAAGGGGGAGTGTCTGGGGACCACTATCTCAGCCAGATAGACGTAGGGGCGAAGTGCCACTGACTACCTCACCAAGCTAGGAACAGACAGGATAAAGGAGGATACAACATTTAGAGATCTCGCTAGCTGCGAACTGCTCCAGCTAGCCGTCGCCTGTCATGGGTAGCTAGGTAATAGTAGATAGCTTAGAAGACAGGTGCCTACGCTGTGATGGGGAAGCGTTGTAGGCTTCCGCACAGTCAATCCAATGTCTCGGTGCTCCATGAGGTTGTGCTGCTTCTAGGGTTTAGGGTTTAGACTGTGAAACGGCAATCCAACGGCCATTCGTCAGTCTTCACAATGCCGGTTCAGCTGGTGAGACGGTCGGTCCATCGTTCTACTGCTTTGTTTAAACTGCCGAACGGTAGCCAGCCGCTGTACCACTACTTGCCTCAACCTCACTGCCTGCAGTTGCTTCTGCTTCTCCTGGTCATGGGGCGGATAAGGAGGTACGGCTTATCTCTTTCGGTCTTTATATTCACTTTTTCGCTGATTGCTCTAAAGGCAGCGCTGTGGTTTCCAGTTGGCCCTAATGGGAAAAGTTTCACTAAGAAAAAGGCACGAATGACTAAGTGTCCCGATCAAAACTGACCGATTTCTGTTCAAAAAAGGTTTGAACAAAAAGCAAAGCCAAGGTGCTTTTACGCAAAGTGCTTTCGTTCAGGAATTCAAATTGGTTTTGCCTTGTAATCAAGTTGGTTTTGCTCGTTTATGCAAATTGATTTCCTTCGTTCATTCATCTTGATTTTCTCCGTCAAACTTGGTTGCATTTGATTGTTCAGACAGATCGTATTCGTTTATTCGAATTGATTGTATTCTTCTATCCAGATTGATTATGCTAAAAGTGCGGACTTTCCAGCCTTGTTCAAGTAGTGCCGTGCGCTGCAATGCAGCCAAAATCTCAAGGTAATATTGTTCCAAGGCTGTTAACCTCCCTCACCCGTCTACAGGAATCCTGGGTTTTCACCTCAGGGCCTAGAGTTGCCGAGGAAAAGGCGGCCTGACTATAGTTGCAGCGCACCTCGCAACAGCTACTAATTCAAGTACAAAGTAAAGGAAGCTCCTACGGATCTCCCTTTACTGTGTGCTTTATCTCTGTAACTATTTGTGTAAAGGAAGCCTATGAAGGCCAATTGAATGTTTCCGTGATAACAAGCAGAACATGGTGCAGTGTTTGCTAATGCAAATTGACGGCTCCTATATCCAAATCTTGGCGATCCAGATTGACTTTCCTTTCTTCTCATGCTGAGTTCACTTGTTTACTCAAGTTAATTCTCCCTTCATTCCTATTAATTTTACTGTTTGATTCTGTGCCCTGACCGGCAATCGACGCATTCCATCATAGATCAGCAACGCACACACCGATGATGAGCAAACTGTCAGAGCAAAAAGACTCAAAAATAGATCGTACTTAAGTAACCAGAAAAACTAGGATATGCATAGAATTGAAGGTGTAAATTATTCTTAAAGCTGCATAACAGCGACGGGAGTGGCAGTTCCAGCTCACAGCAGCTACTGTCTCGGTTGTTGTTGCTCCGGCTGTCTGCCGATGTTCTGTGGATTAACAACCAAATGACCAAGTATTTTCCCTCCCTTTCGGGTTTCTGCTTTTAAGCAGTGCCTCTGCAGCCAGAAAGCGAGCCAAGAGTTGAGCTGAGTCCCTGCGCAGTCGCGAAGGTTCCCGTGGCTCTGCTGAGACAGCCGGCTAGTCTATTCGAACATTAAAAGGGGAAATTTGTAGTCATTATCTAAGCATATTTTTGCTTGCTTACGAAATAAGAGGATTCCCTCAGGTTCCCCTTTACTCGAGCCGAAAGACCAGGGGCCCCACGGGCCACCTGCCCGCCCAGCCCCAACCGTGCGACCCCAGCTAGCTAGCTGAGCTGTTTACGGCTACTAAAGCGTTTCATTTGATATGTGCTTTTTGCATTGAGTTGATAAACGTAGACTAAATGCATCTGAGTAGGCTAGGAGGTTCTGCAGCAAACGCCTCCAAAGGAGCAGCCTTACTGGCGGCGGTGTCGTGTCGGAGCGCAGCAGGAGGCGCAACAGCACCAGGAGCACATGACACAGCAGCCACGGGATTTATTCTCTTGTCTTCTGCTGCCCTCTGACTCTCTGTCTCTACTCCTAGCTCAGGGGATTCTTCTAGGGACGGACCGTGAGCGGCTCTACACCTCCGGCTCATACAGCAAGGCAAGGCAAACCTAACCTAGGCCGTGTGACTGTTGTCTGCGTGCATAAGCTCCTGACGGGGCTACGCGGCTGCAACTAGAGCCGCTTGCATGCGTGCATGCGCAGGGCTAGGACTGCATGCATGCGTGCATGCGTAGGGGTGAGAGCGCTTGCATGCTGCTGCTGAGGCGCAGCAGTGCATGCATACCGCCTCACCATGACGTGCCCAGGGCCCCAAGGCGAGGAGGTCCCCTGTCCGGCCCCACAGGAGATGCCGGCAGGGGACTCGATCCCAACACCGCCCTCGATCCCTTCCCCGATCCCGATCCCGGTCTCAGAAAGGCCCCCCGCCGCCCTCGAGCTCCCGGGAGCTGACAGCCCCCCGCATGTTGCCATAGCTTCCTTCCCAAAGCAGAGTAAGCTTGTGGAGCCCCACGACAGCTGCACAGCAGCAGCATATCAGCAACGCAGCACTGCAGCAACTGAGGTGAGAAGAAATACAGTTGGTGCTGCGACGCCAGGCCATGAGGGTCCGGTTGACGTGCGGCTCTCAGCAGAAGATGTTATGCAGAGCGAGTTATATGGTGTTTAAGGGGGCAGGCAGCAGCAGCAGCATCGCTTCATCAGGCGACTGCTTGCAGCGACAACAGCAGCAGAAGCAGCCGGCACCTTCATTTGGACGTGATTCGCTGCAGTGCCGCAAGCCTCCATGTTGTGTATAGAATGTTGCTGCTCTTTTGGTGTTGTTTTTGCTTTATAAAACCTTCTTTGCTGCGATGCCCGCAGCATCACAATGTGCAGTCGGTGTCTGTACACTCCGCGTGCTATTGCTTCGCAGGCGAAGCGCCCTGCGGGGCCGCACGGGGGGGACGGCTGCTGCCGGGGCGCCGGAGGATCCTTAGAGCAGCAGCAAAGCAGCTTGCTGCTGTGGAGCTACTGCAGGAGCAGCTGGATGTCTCTGCTGTGGACATCGACACCCACGGGCTGCCTCCACCCGATGCAGCCGATGGCAGCAGCACCGTCCAACAGCAGCAACAGCACCAGCTCCAGCACCAAGAGGAGCAAACCTTTGACACCTCGCCTCTAGCCTCAGAGGGCAGACACCTCGAATTCCTGCGTCTCCACGCACTGCTGCAAGCCGCCGTCGGCGCAGAGCAGGACGTGGTCGTCGTGGGGTGAGTTTTCGCAGCAATAACAGTAGCAGCAGCAGCAGCACCAGCAGCTGTAACTGCAGTGCCAACAACAGCAGCAGAAACAACAGCAGTTGGTCCACATCTGTTTAGGTATTGTGCGTAAGGCCTGAAGGGATCAGATGCAGTAGGAGGAGGCATACGGTGCGAACGCTGGGAGGCTGCGGCCACTCCTGCTGCTGTTGCTGCTGTAACTGCTGCTGACGCTACTGCTGACTGGTGCTGCATCCGTTTCGTCCGTTTTTTCCACAGGTTGCATCAGGTGGCGACGCAGCATAGGCTCGCGTGGGCAGGATGTGTTGCGGCAGCGTTTGCGGCTGCTGAGGGCGCGGCAGCCCGAGCAATGCAGCGGCACCTGTGGGGGCCAGAGAGCTCATGTGTTGCTGGTGGGAGCGCAGCAGCAGCAGCAGCAGCAGGAATGAGTAGGAGGAGTTCCTCAACTCGCTATGAACAGATCGTACCGCTGGATGCGTCTCCACACTACAACCAGCTCCTCCTGGTGTACGTACACCCCAGCCACCTGTCAAACATAACGCTGTTGAGCATAGCTAAGACGCGGCTTGGCTCGTTTTGCTGCCGCAGCCTCCAGCAAAACTACTGCCGGCCGTGGGGACTCAGCCCAGGAACGCAGAAGAGACTGCAGCAACAACGAGAGCAATGGAAGCAACAGCTACAGCAACAACAGCAGCAGCAACAACAACGCATGGATTTCTTTTTCAACTTCACCCACTTCCTCGGCCTCTCAGAATCGGCGGCCGACACACAGGCGGCAGCAGGAGCGCCAGCAGCAGAAACAGCTGCAGCAGAAGCAGCAGCAACAGCTGCAGAGACTGAACGGCCTCAGTCGCCCCCTATACATCTCAGGGGTCTCTCGCGTCGCCTATGGCACCGGCAGCAGCGGTTACAGTGCCAGCGGCAGCAGGATGGCATCTGCTGTAGCAGGCGCTGTGCAGCCTTAGCACGTGGCTCCTCGAGCGCGCGTCCCAGCAGAAGCAGCAGCAGCAGCAGCAGCAGTTGTGGCTGTGAGGTGTTTCAAGAGGCTTTTGCGTACGGGGGAGTGGCGGCTCGCGTGCTCATCGGTGCGACGCCTGTTGTCTTTGCCTGTGCGGATGTCAAGCTAAATGAAGAGGCCTTAGAGACCTGCAGTTCCCGCTGCTGCTGCAACTGCGGCCCGCAGCAGCCAGAGCACCCAGGCTCCGCCCACGCAGCAGCAGCAGCAGCAGCAGCAGCAGGGAGAACCACCATGGATTACACCGAACGGGAGGCTACTGCTGCTCAAGAGCATAGGAAAGAGGAAGCATGGCGGAAGGCGTTGACTAAGGCTGTGCAGCGCCAGCAGCTGCTCACCATCTTAGCTGAGTGAGGCTGCTGCCACTGCTGCTGTTACTGCTGCTGCTGCTGTTGCTGCTGTTGCTGTTGTCTCTGAGCCGCTCTTCTGCAGCTAGTAATCTCGAAGAGCTGCAGGGCACCACCATGAATAAGACTGCATGCACACTGTCTCCCCTGGGGGCTGTTGCTCCTTCTGGGGCCCCACACGTCACCTAGCTGCTGCTGGTGAATCTGTTGCAGCCTTCGCTTCGAGACAGATTCGGGCTGGGCCTCTGCCTTGGAGCTGAAGCCGCTACTGCTATTGGGGGCGCAGCAGCAACTGGGGGCGCTCCAGGGTGCCTTCTCCTGCTGCTGCACGCGGCGACGAAACCTTCCTGGGGGCCCTGGCGGGGGGAGCCCATGCGTTGCTGCTGCGGCTGCAGATCGACAGCGGCGGTTGCAGCAACTGCAGCAACTCGATATCACCACAAAAGCGTCTGCCGGCTTTTTCTGCTGCCGGGTGCCCCAAAGGCCAGCAGGGCCGCAGCTCCTCAGTCTGCAGGAGACAGGCAGAATGGCCCAGTGGAGACGGTGAGCGGTATAGGGGACCAGCAGCAGCAGCACTAGCAGCAGCAGCAGTAGTGTCAGGCTTGCTCAGCAGAGAAAGATGAAGGTCGCTCCTTGCGTGCACTGATGAATTTTTCTCTTGTCTCTTATCGCCTCCGCACGGGTGCTGGTGCTGCTGCTGTTGCTGCTGCTACTGTTGGTGCGGTTGCTGCTGGAATCCGGGGAATCCCTTCACTATCTTTTCTAGGCGAGGTAGAAGGTCTCATGTATCCGTTACGGTTTTGCTGCAGGCCGGCTTGGACTTGGGGGGCCCTTAGGGAGGCCCGTAGGGGGGCCCCTAGAGGGGCCCCTAGAGGGTCCCCTGCGGGGGACCCTCAAGGGCTTCCCCATGGAGTGTGTGGGGGTTCGATTGCGCGGTTCTGGGTGCGTTGGATGTCTTGTCGGTTGGTAGTGGAGAGGGTGGACGCGGAGCGCGTGAAGACCACCTGCAACGAACTGCGGCAAACGTTGAAGGTGTTTTCTGGGCCCTTTCCGGTGTCTGTACAGTGCAGCAAGCAGCTACCAGCAACGCTGAAGGCGATGATTGTGTTTGTCTGGGTTTTGGGGTTTGGCATCTATGGTTTATGGTTTAGGGGCTGTGAGCCTGTGGTTTGTTTCTTCGCTGCTGCAGCAAGAAGGCCGGAGCCTCAGTAAACTCATCATCGATCCCCCGCTGCTGCAGCTGCCTCCCATCCGCCCCTTCGAACCCATGGAGCTGAAAATCAGTTTGTCTAACCCTCACGTGACGCTACCTACGGCCTATTCCGTCTACTGCCTCTCAGACTCCGGTCAGGGTTTAGGGTTTAGGGTTTCGGCTGGGGGTGACGTTAGGTCGGGAGTCGTAGGAAAGGGCTTCTCTCTTCTGCTTGCTGTCTCCGTGTCGCGTGTTTTCATGCACCCAGGTGTAGGGTTGAGGGTTTAGGGGGTCTGGTTTCTTGTGTCTTCGTTGCTGCAGGTAAAGCCATAGTCCCTCTGTCGCATGTCTCCTATTGGCACGGGGCCCTATCGAGGAAGTGGCAGGGGGGACCGTTCTGGGAGGCGCAGTCTTTCCAATCTCTCAGCAGCTGCGAGGCGGCAACGCGGCCTTCAGAGCCTCTGCAGCTGTCACTGCAGCGCGAGCAGCAGCAGCTGCTGCAGCGCGAGCAGCCCCAGCTGCTGCAGCTCGAGAAAGAGCGCATCCAAGAGCAGACAGGAGAGAAGTCTCATTCCCCGGACCCCCTCGCGCCTCCTGCTTCCACGTCCAGCGATGACACCCAGCGAGGAGGCGATGTACCTGCAGCAGCACCAGGAGCTACGGCAGCTGCAGCAGATGCACCTGGAGAAGTGCAGCAACCGATTCGTCTGGAGCGGTGAGGAGACCGAGACAAAGCGCTACCGGTGTTGGCCAGCCCTACACTGCTGAATCTCATGTGCTGATCTCGACATCTGCTACCACAGTGTTGCCCAGCCTTACACTGCTGAATCGCATGTGCTGATATCGAACTTTGCTGCCCCCGTGTGGCGGGCCCTGAGGGGCCCTTGATGGGCCCTTAAGGGTGGATGAATGCCAATTCGGTGTGGGGGCCCCTAGGGACGCTCCTACCTCTATGAGGCCCGCAAGGCGTTGCGTGCGGGGTCCTTTGATGGGGCTTATGCGTGCAATCTGATCTGCTTGTTGGTGTTGTGCGTGTGTGGTGTATGTACAGCTGGTTGTTGGTGGACTGGCCGCAGGGGTTTCTGAGGGGTGGGGAGACCCGCGTACTTTCGCTGGTGTTGAATATACAGGAGGGGATTTATAAGGCGCAGGAGTTGGCGTGTGGGGTTTTGGTGCTTCGCCTTGAGGATTCCCGCCAGGACTTCTTCTTCTGTCTCGCTGCATCCCTTATCCCCTCCTTGTTAGGAGCAGAGCTGCAACCTCTCGCACTGCTGGGCGATAAACCCTTACTGCCCCCGACATCGCCCGAAGTTGCAGGGTCAGCACAAACACCAGCGCTATCAGCAGATACAGCAGAACCTGCAGCAGCAGAGCCGCCACAGAGGAAGCAAAGCGAAGAGAAAGGGGGACCAGACGTGCAGCAGGAGGCGCTGGAGAGCAACGAGGAGACTCGGGGTGATGCTGAAGGAAAACACCCAATGCTGCCGATGCCCAAAGAACTCTGGTGGCTGCTGTCGCACCTGCACAGCCACACGCAAGCAGCAGCAGCAGCTGCTGCTGCTGATGATGATGCTATTGCAGCGGACTCACTGCGAAGACAAACGAACCGCAGCACGCCGAAACGACAGGACAACAGCCGTGGTGATGACCGACAGTCGGCCCTGGGCCAGGCACTTGCAACAGATAGCAGCAGCAGCAACAGCAACACGAGCGACAGTAGCAGCGACAGCGAGGATGGCGACTTGAGCGGAGGTGCTTCCTGCTGCAGCACCTTCTGCGAGCAGCAGCAGCAGCAGCGGGGGCTGCGGGGACCGAAGAGTGGAGAAGGGCTGATGAAAGAAGTTGTCCGATTCCTCTCTGCTGCGGGAGGGGACAGCTTTACGTGGCCCTCCTTCTTCGCGGGTTCAGATACCTTCATGCAGCCGCAAAGGGTTTGCTTCGAGGCGCCCGCTGCTGCAGCCGCTGCACCTCCTGCTGCTCCTGAGGACGGTGACCGAGGCCCGAGCAGCTCCCGCAGTGTCGACGACAACACAGGCAGCAGCAGCAACAGCAGTAGCAGCCACACAAGCAGGAGACCGCATAGCAGGAGAAGTTTGTTAAGCCGGAAGGACGAGCATTGCCGTGCTTGCTGCAGGGGACCCCTACAGCGAGAGGTGGTGTTTTTGCGGGCTTGCATAGAGCAGGGCGTTGAAATACCCCCAGGTGTATCGGTGGGGGCCGCGTTGGCGGTGAGTCTCGTGCAGGTGTTTCGTCGTTTGCGTGATTTGCTGTTTCCCTCACCGCAAAACGTATGCGAAAAGACACCGGCAGCAAAAGCAGCAGCAGCAGCAGCAGTATCCGCGGCATCAGTAATAGTAGTAACATCAGCAGAGAGAGGTAGAAGGTGTGTGGTGCGTTTTGCGGGCGTTGTGGGGTTTGCTGCTGCAGCTGTTGGAGTACTGGGGAAGAACGTGCTGCTTCTTCCCCAGCGAATTCGCGGTGCAAGATGTACAGACAGACGGATTCCATATCCTGTGTCGCGCCGTGCTGCTTTCTTTGCCCCCAGTACACGTACGCGCGGGAGAGAGAGGATACACTGACACTGACACACACGTAGACAAAGGCAGCGAACGTAGATACAGACAAACAGTGACAGAGAACAGAACCACGAAACTAGGGGAGATGCACAAGGGCAGATAACAGAGACAGAGGAAGAGAATGACAGGGACAAAGAGGGGTGCAAATACATAGAAGGGGACAGAGAGGTAGACACCGACAGCCAAGCTGCAGCTTCGAACACCCGCTCTCCTTAGCGTGTCTTATCCACATAAAGCCCGTGCTCGACTGCTATCTGTTGTCTAAGGGTGTTGTTTGTTGGGTGGCAGTGGCAGTGGTGGTGTTGTTTTGGGTTGTTGCTGTTGCAGCGAAACGCCTTTATAGCGATTATATCCGCCCTCAATGAGCTGCTGCACGCAGCAACGCGCTCCCAGGGGCCTGCCAGGCGAGCTGGGGGAACAAATGTCCACCCTGCGGGCCCCTGCTCAGGAGATCCGTGCTGCACAGGAGGGGCCCATAGTGCTCACGGCTGCGGGGCCACACTAGCGGGTGCGGAGGCCTGGGACAGCTGTTGCCTTGACAAGGTGCAGGGCACTGAGGCGGAGGGAGAGGAAGGGGCTCTTAAGGTTGGTGAGAAGGGGGGTGGGCCCCCTCGGCGACCCCCGAGGGGGCCCCCGTGGCACGCGGGATGCCTGGAGAGTGCCGGTGCTGCAGAGCTGCTGCGGCACGCGCTGCTTCTGTGGGCGGGGGTCTGGCTGCTGAAGAGCTGCCGGCCAGCTGTTCGGCATGCGGTTTTGGGCCATTTCATTGCTCGCGTGTAACCAAAGCCACAGCAGCAACTGCCTTTTGTTGCAGCTGATGAGTCCGCAGCCAATATGCCCATGCTTCTAGTGATCAATACTCTATAAGCCCCTCTATAATTCCCACTAAGTACACTCTGCCAGCTGTCAGAACCGCTACGTGTATAGGCCCTAGCAATGCCGTGAGGCTTGCAACTGGGGTAATAGGTTCAAAATGCAAACAGACACAGACGCCTGTGGACTGTTGTCTGTACGCCAACAACACAAAAAAGAAACCCCGACGAAAAACGCAGTGAACGCTCTCAGCTAATCTTCACTGCAGCAACGGCAGCAGCAGCAGCAGCCGGGGCACAGACACGTTTTGTGGCTGCTGCCACTGGCATCGCCCAGTAGATTGCAACATCAGCTGCTGCTGCCCAGGCACCTAAGGGCTGCCGGGAGGCGATTTGGAGCAGGGTAGTGCAGCGTTACACTGCTGAAGCAAGTTTAGATGCTGCACCGCTTTTAACTTCTGCAGCAAGTTCAGCTGCTGCGGCACGTTTGCAGCGCTCTGCGCCTGTGGGGCGCCGTCAGTTAGTTGGCGCATTTGCCTTTGCTGACAAACAGCTCCTGAGTCCTGCCCAACAGATCAAAGACGGAGAGACAACAACAGATCCTGCCGTGCAGAGCCTCGTACCAACTCCCGTTGTTACAAACACTGTAACAGCCGGGAAGAGCTCGCAGGATACCACCAGTTTTTCTGCAGCTGCGAGCGCCTGCTTGGAGCTGTGGCTGCGATGGTGCTGCTGGTACCGAAGACAGGACTTGATTCCCCCAAGCCCCTGTCTGTCAGTACGCAGGTGTAGTGTAGAGCTTGTTTGCTCCTTCAGTCAGAATGGACTTTGCTTGTTTCTTCAGTTGGGAGGGGGTAGGGCCGCTTTGGTTGCGTTGTAGCGGAGCTTCCTGTAGAGCTGAGTTAACTGTACCACCTCGTTGCACGCATGGCAGGCGAAGAGGAGGTTGTTTCGGGGCTGAACCATGCATGCAAACCGCATAAAGAGAAGGCTATAGACGCAGAGAACACCTGTCATTCTCTCGCTGATGCACTCGGGGCTCTTCCGCATGTCTGAGAGCCCCGCTATGACGAAACCCCAGTTCGCAACGGGGCCCCAGAAATGCGTTGTGCGCCCGTAAGTGCGGAAATACGAGGCGAAATCAGACCAGGCCCGGCTCGCCATGGTGTTTGATCGACAACCAGTAGCGCCAGCAGAAGAGAAGAAAACACCTCCGCCCAGGTTTAGGGTTTGGAGTTTAGGGTTTAGCGCTGGAGGGAAGGCTGAGAGAAGGGATGAAGTATTTCGTGTTTGGGGTTTCTCCAAGGAACCTGAACGGACGCTGAGTGTTAAGCCAGCATACACAGAGGTGCTGTGCCTGGCCCGCAGACAGGCAGGCAGTGGAAGAATAAATGTAGAATATTTTTAATTATATAGATAAACAGTATACTAGGAATATAGGACCTGTGCTAAAAACAACGCAAAAAGGGGCGGAAACGGAGGCGAAGAAGCGCATAGCAGTAGGAGTGGAAGCTCCAACGGTGTTGGCACAGCCCAGACAACGATGTATGCGTAGCCTACAACGGGCCTCCGCCACCGTTGAAATCTGTGTAAAGATCTTTTCTTTATTACTTCCTTCCTAGACACGTATTTCATGTCAAAAGGGAGTTATTTTTGTTGAGTTCATCCCCCGTGGCGGCGCGCAAGGTAGGACCTCCTCTGGAGCGGGAAGGCACTGTAAAACGAGTCACCAGTGAAATATCTCCCCTCCGTAGCATTAGTGAGCAATAGATTGAATCAGACAGGCGCTTTAGAAGTTGACTGTCCGCTGAAACAGCTTCGGCTCGTGCACCTACTGTGCCTACCCAGTAGTCAACTGAAAGTTAACAACTGGACCAAGTATCTCGCGAACTAACTATTCAAGCAATTCTGTCACTTTTGGTGCGTATGATTAGATTCTGGAGCGGTGACACAGTGCTGCTAACAGGGGTTTGCTTCGTGCAAGTTCTAGTAAATAAATGAATAAACCGAAAGGTTGGATAGTCCAGAAGTGAAGCTGACAAACCGTTAGGGCTTGTCTCGTATATCAAAATTCCATCTGCTATAATTCGAGAGCCCCCATTTCACTTTCGTTCTTTAAACCTTCATGGCGTGAAGGCGTCTGTGGCGGGTTGCTGAGTTGCGTTTCTGAACGCTCGCACGATTGCGCCGCCTGCCCTCAGAAGGCACTAAAACAATGATGCTGCATGCCTGAGAGGACACTGCACCGAATTTATGTAAGTTTATTCTCACACCGCTGCAGCGAATGCGGTGGGATAACAGCGAAGGCAAGTCAACCGCCCAGGGGCGGTGCTAGTCTCCACGTTACAGCCAAATTTCTGGTCTTCTCCGCTTCGAATTTCCTGGAGTATGTAGGGCCGCTGCGGCGGAAGCAGCCAATGAAGAGCGGCTGCTATCATAGATGAGAAGTCAGCAAACAATATATGGACGCTGGTTGAATAAGCGAACGACACGATGAAGCAGTAATTTTTACCACATTTAGGATGGAGCAATTCCGTGCAATGAACACCAAACTAACAGCAACGGCAATATATTATCCAAGAAAAGCAGTTGCGCTCGAGCGATTGTTCAAAGAAGAATGAACTCAGCTTGACTCAATCCGATTCTACCGGAGGAGGGTGGCGGCAAGTAATCCTAGACCCTAAACGGTAAACCCCAAAACAGCTGGAGAAAGCGTACACGAGCCTGTAATGAGAAATGAACTGTTGAGAAATGCTCAAACAGAAAGCAAACCCAACGTTACCGGAACGAAATACACGACTACCAGTGAAGAAGATGCAAGCTTGAAAAAATGATATATGCAAATCAATGCAAGTTGAATACTCCGAGAACGGATGTATGAACTATATTTCAGAAGAATAAACAATAGAAGCGAGCGTAGCTACAACTTGAGTCAAAATAAAAGCCCAAGCAGATAATCCGCACAGTATATTATAGAACATATACGAACAAAAGAAAAATGAATCGTAGGCCATTAATAGAAGAGAAATGCATCCTTTTGGCAACGGGCTTCCGCTCTTTGAACCTTCAATTTTTCACCACATGTATTTAACCTGCCTCTAAATTCGTACTCTTACTTAAGTAGCAGATGAGCTGATGTTATGCTGCCGCGTTTGTTGCAATTTCCTTCCATGTTTCTTCGTTTGTCTTCGGCATGGAGCCGCCGGGCTTCCGAAATAATGACAGGTAAGGCCTATGACTGCAAAGCCCCGCAGAAGAGACTTCTCCGGCTTTCCTGCCTTCAAGCAGCACATGTTTATGTGCATCCTTTCGAGTGTAGTTACCTAAGCCCCACTGCATGCCTCACTACCTTCCCATCACTCCTTTCTTCTCCTCCGTTAGGGGCAGGCTCATGACGCCTTGGGTCGGCTGCTGTCTTTCGCTTTCCACATTCGATAAATGTGTCTTTTCCAGCTCCCGCTTGAACTGGCGCTCCTTGTTGCTCTGAAGAAAACTCACGAATGCAAAAAGGCAAGCAATCGGTCAAAACAAATTCTCATGTAGCCGGCGCGACCCGGTGCGATTGATGAACTCAACAGCCACAACAACCAAGAGTTCGCCTGCCGTACACTGCCCTTCGTATGGTGTGGTGTGTTTTACGTGATCAATGAGGGAGCCTGAAAGCCTTACGTGGTTCTCAAACCTAATGGGTTTATCCGTGAGGTAGAGATCGGTGTAGTAAGAGTCCGGCTTCATTTGGTCATATGGGGGCGGCTCAAGGGGGGTGAGAGAGCCGTCGGCCTCTCGCAGATAGTACGTTGTGCCTGCAGCGCCGCCCGCTTGTACAGGGGAGGTGTCTGTGCCTCCACCGAAAGCGCGGAAACTGCTGTTTCCTCTCCCTCGGTTGGGGTCAGCCGGCGCTGTAACGCCTCTCGGGACGTTGGTATTCGTGGAGGGGGATGGCGGGCTAGGGGATGGCGGGCTAGGGCTCACGCTCGGTGTAGCGACAGCTCCAGCCGTTCTTCCACGGGAACCTGTAGTAGCTGTTGATGCAGCTTGCATTCCGCTACTGAAGGAGGGTCCTGCCGTCGGCACAGTTGACCGCGCACGCAACGCGCTGCCCCCCCCTTCTGAGCCACTTCTGCTGAAACGCTGGGCGCCTGTAGAGCTGCCGATTGCCCCGCTGCTGGTGCTGCTGCTAGTGCTGCTGCTAATGTTGCTGTACGTTGGCTGCATACTGGGAGTAGCGCTAGTGGGGCTGCCCGTGTAACCCCTGACGCCACCGCCTGCAGTACGGTAGCCGCTGCGGGGGGAGGGGGATGGGCTAGGCATGAAGGTTCGGCTTCCCCCTACGACAGAACTGCTGTACGTTCCGCTTGTAGGAGTACCGCTACCTCCTGTGTATGGCTGGCTAGACGGCGTGTAAGTACCGCTGCTGTATCCCCTTTGGCTGCTGCTGCTGCTCATGTAAGGAGTGCCGCTGGAGCTGACGTAGGGGCTGCTGCCAGTCACACGAGAACCACTCGAGTAAGGTGTGTACGTGGAGCTGCCCATGCTGCTTCCAGTATATGTAGTGCTGCTGCTCCCCCTGTATGGAGTTCCGCTGCTACCAGTGTACGTACTGCCGCTGTACGGGGTACTTGAACTGTATGCACTTCCCATATAGGGACTGCCACTACTTCCAGTGTACGTCGTTCCAGTGTACGTGCCGCCGCTACTTCCACTGCTGTAGTAAGTGGTTCCGCTACTGGACGTGGCCGAAGGGTACGTGACCCCAGAGCCATAGGTTGGCGTTGAGCGGCCGTAAGTAGTGGACCCGCTGTATGAAGGAGTGTAGAGGCTGCTGGTGCCGCTGCTGCTGCTGCTGCCCACCGAATAACTAGGAGAACTGAATGAGGAGGACCCACTGCTGCTGTAGCTGGTTGTATAGCCACTGGAGTATCCGCGGCTGCCCATGCCCCCCCCGCGGGACCGCCAAGCTTGCAAGTGTCTGGGCACCGCAGCGGGTGGGGGAGCTTCTGGCTTCAGCGCAGAAGCAGATGTATCAAACGAGCTTTCATCTTCATCGCATTGGTCACCTGTGGGGGTGGCGATCGGGTCCTTTGAAGAGGCTTCTTCTGCTGCTACTGCTGCTGCAGCGACACGGTAGACAAAAGGAACGAGGCAGAAAACGAGGGTTTTCATTTGGGCCTGACTGGCTTGCACTCACTACCTGAACAGCTGATATCGAAAGAAGTGAGAGCAGCAACAACCGGGATGCGCAGACAATGTACAAAAGTCTTCTGCTTATATGGCCGGCGGAGTATGCAGACACCGCTGAAATTAACTGTTCTCTGTGTTTTAATCTTATCCCAGAAAGTATTTTAGCACTAAGTAAATCTCCTTAATGTATGTTGCGGAGCAACAACACAAAACGACGCGGAATAACTGAAGTCTCAGCAGCCCACTGCCGACGGAGAGCGCTGCGCTGCCGACTGACACAAACACCAGCAACGGTCCACGTGCGCGGGCAGACCGCCACTCACAGAAGATCCAATCCGTACTTGTACTCGTTTACTGATAGTTCTCTATTTTTCCCAGTTATACTTCTTCATGAACGGTTTCACCTTCATCGCGGTAAACGCCTCCCACGCGCAGGCCTGCTTCCCCCCCTCAGGGTCACCTCTCCATGGGTACTGCTAGAGCAATTTAAACGGGAAACAGCCAAATTTATAGCATTTCTTTCAGATCTACTGTGTTACAAACCCATTAGAAATTATAGGGGTCCTGGGAATTTTGCGTGCATCTGCTTCCCTAGCATGACTGCCTGGCGGACTGCCTAGGGGAACCACCTCGTTACAATGGTAGTGGCTTTTAGATCCCGTGTACCCCTATGCTTAACACGTATGATTGCGCGTCAGATTTACGCCCACCAATAACCTGCAACGCTCAGCCGCGGACAGCTATGCGCCTTAACGAGCTTCGCTGCTGAATGCTAGACTTGAAGAAAGCCACACGCGCAGTACAACTGCACCCCCTTCTCTCTGGTGCAACTGCACCGGCCCAACAACCTGTGAAAGCATGCATTGTGGTTCAGTCTTCTTCGCTGGGTCCATCTAGCCTTTGATGCGCGTGCAAGTGCTGCCAAAAAAGAACGCCTGTGGCTTGAATAGAACTGCAGGCTATCCTACTCTGCTTACGTCTGAGTTTTTCATTTTCCTCTTTGCCAGCGCATCCCATGGACTCGACAGATAGTAGTTTCAAACGAGACAGCACTGAAGATTTCTTGAAAACACGTCGGTGTGGTGATTTCCCCGCGTTAGCGCTTCGCGCTTCATCGTAAATCCTCTACTGGCCAGGCAAACACCCAATACGGTTCGAAGCAACTGGACGAGGCAGTGCCCTCTCACACCACCTATACAGCAAAGGCGCAATCGCTCAGAGCAAGGCCGAAGGCTCAGCAGTAGAATGGATTCGCGAGTAACCAAATGCACTCCTGCAAAGGCGTCTTCGCTTGCAGACGGTGAGCAAGGCTTGATGGCCTCATTGACTGTGCCGTGCATACAGGACGTTGTTCTTCAACTTAAGCGCTTAAATGGCTTGTAAATATTTTGTTCCTTCATATCATTTGCCCTCAACTCATAGAGGTACAGCATATCGCCGAAACGAACAATAAACAGTCTCCAGTAAACAAAGCTCGGTTCACTGCCTTCACTTACATCCCATATAAGAACACTTCCTACTCAAGCTGCCATTCAAAGAATGCGGAAAGTGTTCGAGACAGACAAAGACGTTTTGCAGACCAGAAGAAAAGGCTTGGCACGACTGCACGCCTGCACAACAGGCTGAAATCTTTGCTTGTCCCACTGACAGAGCTTAGTGGCAACGTCTCTGTACAGGACGAAGCAGTTTCAGCCCACATTACTGTATTTTCACCTAGCAAAGCACAAGTGTATCTTCATCAGACCCGTTCACACCTCTGCACCACACGGCGAGACGTGACAACATTGCTGTATCGCTGTGTGAGCAGACGCTTCCTCTTCTCCAAGAGGCGTTGCACCTCAGGAGTCGCCCGCTCCTGAAGTCTCACCAAAGCAACAGAAGGCAGAGGTGTTCGCTGCACCCTCTGACTCTGAGGATGCAGACGCAGACCACACTTATCCGTCTCCCTCTGATTGTTCAGAAACATCCCCCAAACGCGCTTGCCCTGCAGGTAACCCGTGGCTGCTGCAGGCAGCTGAGATGGTCTTCGCGTCATCCTCCATCTCCCCTGATGTACTGACGGAGGAGCCAGTGGGGGAGAGAAGGCCCCTTCTTCTGGCGGCGGTAGCGGAGGCAATAGAGGGCGAAAGAGCTGTAACGAAAGCTGCCGAGGAACTGAAACTTGAAACAGATGGCTCAATCTCTGAGTGTCAGAAAACACTTCAACGAACACTAGATGAGGCATTCGATTTGGTTCGCTTGCTCTTAGCCCGAGGAGCGTCTCCGTCGGTGCCCTCTGAGAAGGGAGTCTTCCCGCTTGAATATGCAATCAAGAAACACAGCTTGCGGGTGCGTACCCCGCTTCGGTTGCCTCAAGGGTTGGGCAAGAGTTGGGCGATGCAGCTAGCTGAGAGCGAATTGGACCACACAGGAGGGACACATCAATGCCAATAGCCCCTTAACGTTAACTAAGCAAAACAGAAACATAGAAGTCTGAGGGCGTATTGCTGCACTCTTGCTGTAGATTTGTTGTAAGACACCAGCCTTTTGTGAGGGGTGCAGCTTCATCCAGCTCAGAGCAGGCAAATCCAAACCGCCCTCCTGCAGCATTCACCATGTTCTTCAGGGTTATTATGTCCACGACTGCCCTCTTGATGTCTTGTTGCACCAATGCAGCACAGTGAGACAGCGTAGCGGGCAGCAGATGCTGTATCCTGTGCTCGAAGCGGCTGCTACGACCTCTACATTTCTCTTTTTCCTCAGGCAGCTGCTCTGTTATTAGCTCCGCGGGAATGCAGCAAAAAGAAAAGCAAGGGGTGTTTTCCCCTACCCGACGGCCTCACTCCTCTCCACGTGGCATCTGCTGCAAACGATCTCAACTTGGCCACCTTGCTGCTGAGCAAGGACGCCTCCAACTCTCTGCAAGCAAGCGCACGGTGCCAGAACTGCCGTGACCGTGCAGCAATAGCCGTCGCATGCACTCCCCCAGCACCAAAGGGTCTACGGCAGCCCCCTGCGGTCTCCGTGAGCCTTCCTCTTTGTCGTTCATGTTTAGTCAAGGCGCGAGACGAACGAAATTGCACTGCAGCATTTTACTGCGGGAGCAGCAGTATGCTGAGGCTGCTGCTAGACAGCGGCACACCTCTTGAGTTGCGCAGCAGCGCGGGAGATACTTTGCTCCATGCACTTGTCTACAACGCTCGCCGTTTTGTAGAGATCGAGCCCATCAGTGTCGCGCACGAGGCAGGAGAGGATGAAATGGGTAAAGGAACGCAGGCGCGCCCCTCACAGGCCGCCTGCTGGTGTAAAGACTGCAGGGGAGCAGGGGGAAACCCAAGGGGCTCTGCCCTTTGCCGCATATTGCTTCTGCTGGAGCGCGTCGCCTCGCAAGCTTCAGTGAACACCCCCCCGGGCGAGTCGGGGAATTCAAAAGCCGTTGCAGACTTCATCAACACCCGCAACCATGCCGGCTGGACAGCGTTGCATCTGGCAGCCTCTCGCGGGTATTCAGATATATGCAAGGTGAGAACAAGCCGCACCTTGATTGAGCCACTGCTATCATCTGTATATTACATCTGTGTATTATATCTGTACATTGCATATCAATACTGCATCTGTGCACTACATCCATATCCTACATCAGTATACCACATATACTTTTTACCTATATGTTTCAAATGCATACTGCATTTTAATATATCATCTGTATACTATATCTATATACTGCACCTGCAAAATGAATCTGTACATAAGCAGCGGACTCTTCTACATGTTATGTCTGCACATTACTTCTGTGTGTACTACATCTGGGTATAAGCAACGGACTGGTCAGCACCAGTGGCTTTTTTAGGTTTTGTTGGACTACGGGGCAAACGCCAGTCTCACAACAAAGAAGCGCCGATTGCGCCCTGAGAGCCTTGCGCTGATGAACAAACATTTCTCCACGGCCAGGTACGCCAACCTATATATATATATATATATATATATATATATATATATATATATATATATATATATATATATATATGTATATATATATAATATAGCCATTTCAGCCTGCAGCTCGTACCACGCTGTCTGCACACTGTAGCTGGTTGCTGGGGCTTGCAGCTCGAACTTCTCCTGTAGAGCCTAGATACAGGGAGAGATTGTACGAGTGTGTTCGCCGCTCCGCTGCAGAACAGTGAGCCCGTCTAAGTTTGTGTGTCCCCTCAGGCTGTTGCGCGAAAGCGTGGAAATAGCCAGCATCAAGCCTCCCGCTAGATCGGCTCAGTTGCTGTACATTCGCCTTAAAGGAAGCGCTCAAAGTCATCCACTCTTGGCGGTGCTGGGGGTTTGCTGGGTCGGCCTTTTGTGTTTGCACTGGCAGGGGGTTGTTGCAGCCCTGCAAGTCTATTTCCCCAGTATTTTCGGACAACTGCTTTAAAGTCAAACTCGTTCAAACGAAGTGTAACAAAATAAAGTTTTCCCGTCAACAACAAACTCCACACACTGCTGTCCCCTACGCGGTACAATGAAACACGATGCAAGTAGTACGCTCTTGCGCCAACGTGACTAATAGAAAGCAGCAAATATCCTCTTTCCTTCAACTGCTAGCGAGATTCTGAAGTGCTTTGACTCCCTGCCTCGCTCTACCCTGCCTACATACCTAGGTTGGTCAGTAAAATACATCTTACTCCGCCGTCAATTCGCCTTTCACGCGCCTACAGGCGTCGCCGTCTCTGCGAATTTCAGGCTCCGCCTCCTCACCGCGAGGCGGTTGCCCCACACTGTGCACCACTTCGTCAGAGACTGCGGGCCCCCGTGTCTGTCTGTGTGTGTTTGTTACGCCTCTCTTCCGGAGGATGAAGGGTGGGACAGCGGTGGTTGCAGTGTGTGGGATTTGTCTGCTGTGCTGCTGCTGTTCTGCTCGCCCCAAAGTGTCCTCGACCGGCTCCGAGTTTACGCTGTGCAACCCACTTGCTGGGGTGTTCTGGCCTGCAGCTGTCTGTGACTGCTGTAGAAACCCGGTTCGGCACGAAGGGCTTCCCTCAGCATTTCCCCACAGTAGGGATTCCAGCATCAGCTGCTGCTGGAGCCGTTGCTCTGCGCTCTCGCCCACTGCATCGGACGGTATAGAGAAAAGATCAACGGCCCCGCTGCTGCTGTCCGCGGTGGGTGGGGGACTGGCTGGTGCCTGAATGACTGTCCGGTCAAGCTCTGCTGCCCCCCAACCATCAGCTCGTCCCTCTGGTCTCAGTGTGCCTGCCTGTTGAGGTTTCTCTACGAGAGCACCTGATCTCCTATCCCCTGTTCTCTCGATTTCCTCTGGCTGTGCATCACCAGTTGGTGCAACGGGCAATACATCCTGTGGGGATAAAGGCGCGTACTTTTGTCCAGGCAGTATCAGTCCAGGGTCGGGGGGGGCAGGGAGGTCTTGGGGGTCGAAGTCACAGCTGAACACTGTCAGCACATCGCACCCAGTGGCAAGAACGGCATAGGGCTCCGGCATATGCGCTTTTTTATTAAGCGCTTGCATTCGTACACTGCGAAAACTACGGTAACAAAACAAACGCCACGAGGAAACTCTTGCGCCTACCTCGCACAGAGAGGAGTTCTACTGCGTTGTCGACAACTTGAACTAAGTTGTGGCGCTTGGCTGTTGCCGGCATCCCTCCTGCACATCCATCATACACACTTATCAGCTGAACGACGTTCGTTGAACCCTTTCTAAGTCAGTGCCGAGCTTTCTCAATCTATCCTCTGACCACTGCGTTATGAGCAAGGCATACAAGCGTGGTGTGCATGCAAAGGTGCGCGGAGGTTTGCTGTTCAAGTAGGCAAGCAGCGGTCTGGTGCTCCTCAGGCAAACAAATACTCGACCTATCAATATATATACTACCACGTTCCCTATACAGTGTCGCTCCCACCCATACGAACACCACGTAGCAGCGCTGTGACCCCCAAGGGAAATGCACTTACTGATGCTGCATATCTTGTAAAAGTCAGGCATTCTGGGCACAGTCATTGGCTCCACGGGCTCTCCATTGATGAACGGCAACACGCGCATAGCGGGCAGCTGCCCCTGCCCTTCCCTGCTGCTGCGCACTGACACCTCCCTCTGGCACCTCAAAGTGACCCTTCGATGCCACAACAAGCAGCAGCAGGCTTCAGATAATGTCATTTATAGTCCAGCCAAAGAACACAAGAAGCCTAAATCCTCGTAATAGATATTTACATACTGCAACTAGCAGATCATCCACGGCGTTAATATATAAATTATACATATACATCCTTGCTCACCGAATAAATGGGGCCTCCCTGCAGGAAACACCCAAATAAAGCCACACAGAGAAGGTATATGGGCTACATCGTCTTTTGTAGAAAAAAGGGGTAAAAAGAAAGTACAGCAAAGAACCACGTACAGAAGAGATCAAATATGTGAGACATACTTCTCTGGTGTCGTCTCGCTGACGTCTCGCCTGAAAAACGGGAAGAACTGTTCAAAAGGAGGCGGCGGGGGGCCGCCACCTCCATACGGAGCAGAGCTTGGAGGCGCCGTTCCGACTCCCAGATCTACGCGCTGCACTCTTTCAGTGTTTCCTCGTGATGTGGTCCAGTATCGAGCCCCCAGCAAAAGCGCGCATCTGTAGGGGCCGTCCTGCGATCAATACACAAACCCCACCCAGCCCCAGAAGACATATATCCTAGCCCCCCTGAAGACTCACTCAGAGCCACGGCTTCGTTCCTAAGCAGCAGAAGAGCAGCTGCTGCTTGCCGCCCTGATACGCTGCGATATTTCTTGCAGATGTAAGAACACGCAACTGCCCACCCGTCCTTGCTCGAACCTCCTGCGCTGAACACACACAACTCACGCCAGGACCGACCGTACAACCTGACTTGGTTTTTAGCAAGCTGATCAGCTAAGCAGCCACTGCAACACACAAACGGACTCTGAAAACACTGTTTGAAGCAGCAACACAATGCAGGTGAACTGCATTCCCTGTCTAGATCATTGTCGGGTGGGGCGTTACCTGGTTGCCGCTTGAGGGCCTGGAGGATCCTCCGTTGCCTTCTTCTTTGACTCGCGTGCATATAAGAGGGTCGTAGACGGAAACGAGTTGCTGGCGGGACTCCCCATGTTGTGAATATCCTCTGTTGCTGGCGTTGGGCTGTAGTGACACCATTCGAAAGCCGTCGCTGGTAAGCACAGGCAGCCTGAGGATGACGTCGACGGTGAAGTGGTCAGTACGCCCCACAGGGAGAAACCCGTAAAGACCTGCAGCCCGCAGCATTGCCGTACAAACAGCTATACAACAGTTCAACAGGGTTTACTGCCCCTTAACGGGCTTTACCTCGACCATTCAATGACTAGCTAAATACAGAAAAGGACTAGTTCTGGATCCGTAAGTAATACGAACAACACCAGTCAATAACATGCAAATAATACGAAAATGCGGAAGATCAAGTATAGAAATAAAGGAAGGAAACGCAAAATGCAGTGCACAGCACAATGCGTGTGCAAGGCCGATACGGGCGGTGGGTGCTGAGGGGTCTAAAGACAGCGGGAGACAGTCTAGTGTTTCCGCACATCCGCTTTTGTTCAAGTCAATGGGAGGATCGAAGACGAAAGGTGTTGGAGGCAGCAGAAATCTAGACACTGTTGCCGCGGAACCTTCGCTGTCAGCCACAGCGTCTGCGTGCATAACACCCAACTTCACCTGCTATGCATATACATAAAGTTGAAAGCGTCCAGCAATCCATATATTTCAATGCATACACCCCTGTGTGTCTGTACACTTCAGATCTAAGGAAAGCTTACCACCCCTCACTTCCTTAGGAATACGCGGGAAGTCGCCGCGCTGCACAACGGTATGCGCTGAGCGGCCGTCACAGTGGAGCAGCAGCAGCGGCTGCAGCGCAGCAACCAGATAGCAACACGGTTCTTTCAGAACTCCCCACTCCCAAACCCTAAACCCTAAACCCTAAACCCTCGTTAACCCTACTCCCCCTGCATCGCATCTAAGCTGACGGCGGGTGCCTACGGTAGGATGGGTGCCGGGGTCTTGTTCTGCATTGGGCTGCGAAGCAAACAAGCAAACAAAAGAGCAAGAGAATGACCACCGACCACCCGGCTGCTACAGCCTGTGCTGCAGCTGCGGTGCTCTGAGAAGGTGAACTTTGACGCAGAGGCAAGCTTGCTCACTTCGCTCGGTGCAGCGCATCCGCCACGTTCATGCTTCGCACTTTGCGCGGGGAGTGGTGCTTCTTCTTCTGCTCTTGCTGGCCTAAGCGGGCCTGGCTGTCGCACCTCCTGCGTCTGCTGTTGCGGTGGCTGCTGCTGGGTAAGCTGCGGAAAGGGCTGCTCCCGCAGTGGTCTCTGCTGCTCGGGCATCCTGCTAGCCTGCTGCTGCAACAGCACCTCACAACCATACATCGCCGGCGCAACTGCATCGCTCTTGCAGCCGCATATGCATACATTGCCCGCAAGTATGTGCTGTGTTCATCAACTGCTGCAACATTCTAGCGGCCGCGGAGTAGTCTGCTGTTGCTCTTTCTGTTGCTGTTGCTTCCTTACCCGCATGCGCTGCAGTTCCTCCCGCAGGTCCTCCAGTTGCTGCCGCAGAGAGTTCGCTTCCTTCTGTGAGGCCTCAAGTTTCTTCTCTGTCTCTGCGAGCTGCGTCTTCGCCTTGCGAGCGGCTCTGAAAGGTGATAACAAAAAGAACAACAAAAAGCTAGAGCATAGGCTGAGGTTGCCCGCGTGTGGAGATGTAGGTACCACCTCACCCGAAGCAAGTGTAGGGAGCATGACTCCGCCACAGACGTTTGCAAGAAAGGTATCGACTGCAAGTACTAAAGAGAAAGAGAATAGAGGTAGATGAAGATGAACCAGGGTGCATGCAGCTGTGTCTCCTCACCGATGCACGCCAATGTCAACGATCTTTCTGAGCTGGGGCCAGTGGTCCATGGCCCATTCAAACAGCGGCTTGCCCAGCAGCCGATCAGCGTCTTCTGCATTTTCTATTTCCTGCAGCAGCGACTCCACCTCAGGCCGCCGAATCCCCTTCACCTCCCGCTCCCAGGTGCTCGGCCGCACGTGCGCGTACTGGGCTATGATCGCCAGAGTCCTGTTCACTGCAGACGGCATATTGCCCCCCTCAAGCCCTGAAGACGTACACAGCAAGACGCAGAGGCCACACAACACTGCGTGTGTAAGCAAACCCTCAGGTCCAGCAGCTCATCGCCACAGCGAGAAATCCTATAAACGTAAACCCCTTCTTCCTCTCCGTGCGCCCTCTCCTTGCTAGCTACCCGCCACACTCTTGACTGCATGCATCCACGGTGCGGCTTCGCTTCATATGAAGGATACTCCTGCAGTGTTCTTCTTAAAGAGAAAAAACTAGGCTAATTTACTTGGCATGGATATATATATATATATATATATATATATATATATATATATATATATATATATATATATATATATATATATACGTATAGGTATATGTATGAAGGGCAAGTGTCTTCAGATGCACCCAATCCGTTCAAAAGGATTCCTTTATGCTTACCGGCAAAATATTTGATGCGAGCGACGCAGTCGTCAAACAACCCTACCTGCAGCAGCAGAAGCAGCAGCAGCAGCAGCAGCAGCAGCAACAGTAGCAGAGCAAGAAGAGGTGGTGGCAATCTAAGGCAACCCCTTCACTACTTTCCTAGCAACTGGGGTCACCGAATACTCTATAGCAACGGGCGTGGTGGTATCAAGGGGAAACGCATGCGCCCAGCCCCTGCTTGTAGAACTGAATGAAGTTGATGTATAAATACAACAAACTGCTCTGCGTGTTTATGGAAACGATTGCAGCAGCTCGCTTTTTGGGGCTTTAATACAAAAGCCCCCTTCTGTCTTCTTTCATGCTGAGAAAGCTTCTATCATATAGTCTGTTTCGTTGTTTGTTTGTTTATTTTTACTGTATGAACTCAGAGTGGACGTGGCCGAAGCAGCAGCACCACGACCTACTCGTGAGCGGAGCGCGAAGTAGCGGAGGTAATTTGGGCGTAGCTCGCGTCGCTTCTCTCTCAGAGCCAAGGCCTTTTGTTCTCGTGTCATATACTTGTCTACTTCTTGCATATCCTGCATGCTACGCTGGTTTGCTCGATGACGCTCTTCTTTGGCCATCTCCACTCGCTCGTACTGCTCCAGCCGCAAATACCTCGTGTCTATGAAGTGCGCCAACTGCTGCCCCCAAGCATTCAGGTGTACAGACACCTGCAACTTCACTGCCTCCGACAATGCATGAATCTCCCTCCACAGCTCGCATTCCTCCGGAGTCTGCAAAGCACCACACACAGCTGCAGCAGCAGCAGAACTCTGCAGCAGCAGTAGCAGCAGCAACAGGCTTGTGCAGCTGATACAACATCTCTCTCGTTCGAGCCCTGGGCCCACAGCGTGGGTAGGTACCCTCGCCCCCACAGCCCGCACCTCTGTTTGCAGTTCCCTGTCGCTTGGTCCGTTCCCGTTGTGTGCAGCATCAAGAGCTGCTGCAGCTCGGCGGTCTTTCAGGGCCTCGATCTGCTGCAGCAGAAGCCTCCTGCGGGCGAGGTCACGCTCTAGAGCCGCAACGTCCACCGCCCTTCTCTGTTCCTCAATAGCAGCAAGCGCCGTGTGTGCGCCCTCTACGGCACGAAAGAAACGCGAAATCCACATCGTTGGCGTTGTCTCAGACCTGGTGGACATACACCGCAGCAACTGAGACAGCAGAATACAGCTGTCACTGCAGCAGCCTGGAGCTGAGAAAACACCCGAACCCTACTGCTTTCCTCTCTACCGTTAAATTAAGCTCTTAGAGCTGAAAAATTTTTGCTGGGTTTGTTGAACACCACGCGTTCTAGTGCATGCGTTGGGGTGTATATACACACTCGCTCTCGACTTCTTGGAGGCACTGATGCGCGGCCTCAAGGAACTCCCCCAGCCAGTTGTCTTTGTTAAGTGCTGCGGGTATGAGTGCAAAGCCCAGGCAGTTGTTGAAGCAGACCGAGAAGAGCGCATGCAGCAGCAAAGGGAAATCACACATCAGCAGCAGCACCTGCTTCCTCCTCTCCTCCTCCGTCTTCCCCGTAAACGACCACCGCAGGGCCCCCAGCTCCAGCACCCACCCCACCCAACTGCGTCGCACACAAGCCGCTCCGCCCAGGCACAACAAGACCACTTGTAGACCACTGGACAATCCTCACGGGCTGCCGAGCTGCATGCGTTTGAGGGCTGTGTGTCCTGCCGCCTACCACTCTATCAGCAGTGGAAACGGCCACATGCTGGCGGGTAGACAGGCACTGGCTCTATGTATGTAGATGTACATGTACACACAGAGGTTTGTATCCGTGGACGCATGCAAATATACATATATATACGTATGAACATATGTATATATATATGTATATATATATATATATATATATATATATATATATATATATATATATATATAT